TTTTGTAATTTTTTTTTTTCTTGTATTCTTGTATTTTAAGAGAAGAAAAGAACTCGAATTTATTCATTTTACTACATTTTTAAAATTAGATTATCTTGTGTTTTGATATTATTATGTTCTTTTCTATTCACACTGGTAATTGATTTTTTCTTTCATGTTACATGCTGTATAAACAATTATGTATCTATTTGTTTGAAAAAACTTATAACCTTAATATCACTGTAATGTTAGCATTCAACATAAGTCCTACTTACACTTTTAACTTAAATATATCATTGTATATATTTTTCTTGCATAAATCCATTTACACATTAAATCCATGTATTACTACCACTATTTATACTTGCAATTTTAACTATGTATTTACATCTCATAAATTATTGTTTTAAAAAATAAGTGTACAATTGTAGCAAAAGTATTATATACATAAAAAGAGAGAGAGCAAGAAAGAGAGAAAAGCATTAAAAATTCATCTAATATAAAAATTTATTAAGATTTTTAAATAATAGAATCAAATAAAATAAAACCTATATAATTGAAGAATCTATTAAATACGATTGTACAAGATTAGATTTGTGATTTCTAATTTGATTCTATTTGCAAGGATTTTACCACCCATTTAATACTACTATCATTCCTTAAAACTAGCCAAAGAAAGAAAATTGAAAGGACTTATTGGTGTCTATTTTCCATAGCTTTTATGTAGCACAATGTAGAAAAACAAAAATAATAAAATAACAAACATTTTGGACACAAAAAATCGTTCTATCTCAAAAAAATTGGATTGATTTTCCAAAATACAAACCCAACCAATTAAAACTTTTTGATAATAACCAATCAAAAAAATTACAAGTTGTAGTCGCTTGCATTTTCTTTTACACACCTTGTCTTTGAGACACAAAGATCTCCTTGCCACCAAAACAAACACACTGTACAAGCACACAAGCTACAAACAAGTAGAATAGAGGGTTTGGAATGACCTTGGACCACCCAAGAATTGGCAGAACCCGAAGAATGCAAAATAGTGCTCGACAAGGTGGGCGTTCAGCTCAGATCCCAAAACCAGCTGTGAAATCTAAACAGACGTGCCTAATAAAACCCTGAGCACACTGGAATTACCCATTACTCACTGTTTGTGTGCTCTCCAGTCAACAACAAACAAACAACAAGTGGATCTGAGAGACAGTTTGGGGCCATGACAGACCAGGGAATAGGAGGGAGGGAGGCTCAAATGATCACCTTACACACGAAGAAGCAGCAGAAGGAAGCAGAGAATAATAAGTGGTGCCAGTTGTTGCATCACACACACACACACAGCAGCACCAGCACCAGCAGCACTAGAAAAAAAAGTAGGAGACCAGCTGCTGGCATTCTCGGAGAGCGTGCGAGCTCAACACAACTCTCACGTGGAATGCTCGCCCCCTTTCCTTCCTTCGTCATTCTCAGCCTGGAATGCTCCTGCACCGCTCTGATTCACCCATCCCCACCCCCACCCCCAACTCCATATCCAATTCCTCCTCACTCCTTCGCCTCCTCCCTCCCTCGCTCACTCACTCACTCTTTTACTCACATTGTCCGTCTATCTGTCTGTCTGTTTTCATGTCGGACGCCGTAGCCCAACGCCAGTCGGCAGGCTGCATCCGTGCTGCTGCAGCTTGTCAGGGTCGCAGCGTCCGTTACAGACGTGCATCATCAGAAGGTCTCGGTGGATCAGAACCCGGGCTTTGGATCCTCTAGGGTGGTGCTACTCCTCCTCCTATTCCTCCGAAGACTTGTAATACCATCCACTGTGGTAATGTCAGGTTGCAATGCATGTCACTTGCAGTTGGGTCGTGCGAATACCCATGCGCGGCTTGCTTGGTATCAACACAGCTGGAATGCTTTACTCTCTCTTTTCTCTCTCTCTCTCTCTCTCTCTCTCTTACTGCTGCAATAAACGAAGCTTGTGTGCTCCGCAAGCCTGCTAGTGCTCTTGCTTGTGAGCTTTTCATGATAACAAAGTGTCGTGGTTGTCGGGGAAAGGAGGCCCTGCGCAACTGCAGACCTCTCTCTCGGTGGAGACTTTCGGTTCTGCTGAAGGCAGCGTCTCCTACTTCGACCCAAACGGAGAGAGTGGTTCCCTTTGCCCTGCGCATTGTTGGTTGTGAATTGTGGTCGACATGCTCTCTGCTAAAACTGGATCACACAAAAACTAAAAACACGAAACCAAAAAAATGAAACAAACAGATCCAACACTGAAGAAAGTACACTGAACATGATGAAACTCGTTGTTTGTTGTTATTATTATTTTTTTTTATTAGGTTCTGGATTTGACATGAGTTTTGGTGGTGTAAGTGTTTCTAAACTTTGAGGAGAATGTGGTGCGTGATTGTGAAACTGATGGCTGAGCTGTTCTACGTAGTGCTTGATCTTATTTCTGCTTTCATTGTTCTGTGTGATTTCTACATTATTATTGATATAATGGGTTTGATGTAGTTTGGATTTAGGATGAGCTGTGTGGTTTGTATAAGCTTCGTGAATGAATACATCTGAATTGTAAAGAAAAGACGTGAACTTCAAGATTATTAGATTAATGTTAATGATGTTGGTACATTATTCTATTCCAGATAAGATGGGAGGTTTTCTTTTTCTTTTAAAAAAAGATTGAATTAAATTTGTGTGTAGAAAAAAAGTAAAAAAGTAAAAAATAATTAAATGCTTATACAAGAATTTCATATTTTTAGAATATACAAAAATCTATTGAATGGTTTAAAATAACTTTGAAATAAATATTTGTGCTTTTTGACTTTCATCAATATATAATTACTTTTCATAACCAATTTCCCAAAAACTAAGTATCTCTAATAATTAATCAAAAATTTGAAAATTAATTCTATTTTATGGTGTATAATTAATAACCTCTAATTTATAATAATTAATTGATTTTCATTAAAAATTATTAATTAATAGAGAGGCAATATAGCCAATAGGGCCACATGGCTATATCCAATTGGATAAGGCAATCATATGTAGATGGCAATGTAAAAGCAAGCAACCTAGGATGTATGACCTTGGCAAAGATGATTTCTATCGTGGCTTCAACGAGCCACTTTTGATGGTTAATAATTTATATTATTATTATTATTACTATCATTTTTGTAACAAATGATATTAATCAATAGAAAAAATATTATATGTTTGTGTGTATGTATACATATATGTTTATATATATATATATATAGAGAGAGAGAGAGAGAAAGAGAGAGAGAGAGAGAAAGAGAGAGAGAGAGACTATAATCTTTATTTCTATAGTTTGTGTATTTGTATTTTTTATATTAAATAGTAATGAATACAAAAAAATGACTATCCATCTATATTTAATTTCTAAAGATAAACACATTCAAGTTAATTTACCTATATATTTATAACTTTTTAAAAATTTCTATATAATCAAAATTAATAACGAAATAAGTATAAAATATAAAAAGTTGTATTTGAAGTTAAAATGACAATAAATAGCTTAGGATATTTATAGTAATTTTCTAAGTTTTAAAAAAAACAATTACAAAATTAAGAAGATGATAGGGATTCAAAATCCAAAAACTTTGATAAAAAGTACAAATAGTGTTTTAAAAATTCATTAGATAATTTAGCATATAGAATATTTTTTGAATTAAAAAAGATAAAAATCTCTTACCACAATTTATAGTTGATGTAAGAAAGTTAATACAATTGAATATATATATATATATATATATATGTTAATTTCTATTTTTATAAAATAATATAATACAAAAATAATAGCCATATGGATAGACATATCATTGCAAAAATAGATATTAAGGATTTGTCAACCTAATTATTTTTAAGCTTTTAAAAGTTTTTATCATCACTTATTTCACTTTAAAATAGGTACTCTAACTTTTTAGCAAAATCAAATATATACTACACTTTTGATAACAAGACTAATTATATAAATATCATACTTACAAAAAGAATCCACATGAAACGTTCTAAGAAATATCAACAAGATATTTTAATGAAATATATTACACCACTTTAAACAATAACTGACTCTTTATTTAACTCTATATCAAATTTAATATGACTTGGATACCATTGAATATGTAACAACTTATTTCAAGATTAACTTTTATTTATATATATATTTATTTATACTTCCTATTTAATAACTTAGAAATTAAATTATAATTTTCATTATTACATTCAATATTACATACAAATATATATATAAATATATATATATATATATACATACATATATTTATATATACACACATACAGACACTATTGATTCCTTGTTCATGGGAAAGTTGGGAATGTCATGAATTGACCCATCTTCTCATAGTGTTGTGGGCTCCATAGGGGTGACAAAGACATGGATCTCACAAGTGCATGGGATTTTGCACACCTCAATTTCCACACAACATTTGGGTCACAGGCAGTGTGAGAAACAAATCAATAGTGAGTCAAGGCAGGTGGGTCAGCCACCATTTTCACAGCCTGTGTACACAAAAATACCACTCTGAATAAATGAAGAAGACAAGCAATCAAACATCCATAATTGTCTTCCACTATGAACTCCCCATGTTGGCCAACTTCCACATAAAAATGAGCAATTTCTCAATGTTTACCTGAACAACCAAAGTTCATGTTTCATGGCATCCATCCCAAGCATTAAGAAGAATAACAGCTTCAATTTCAGGCTGCCAACTTAGAATCCACTGCATGGGATACTGTCAATTCCAACAACATGAACAAGCCTAGAAGTCTGATAGACTCATGAGCTGTTGCTGAGAGTAGTCTAAATTATGCCTTTACTGTAACAAGTGCAGTAAAAAAGTCAAGCAAATTCGAGGTGAATATTTGACTTTGTGGGGGTTTAGGAGTGATGCCATGCTCTAGGTTTGTACCTCTGTTCTACAGCACTCATTTTACTGAGGACCTTTATATCAGCCCTTTTGACAGAAGATCTGGAGAGTCTCCGATGTTACAGAGCGAGGAGTGTCATTGAATGGGTACCTTTCGGACCATGATTGCCTCAATCTCCCCTGGCGGATGTTGGATTGACCATAACCAGAGCACCCAAGGCTTAGTTCCTTAGCTTTCTTTATGATGCGGAGGCCGCTGCTTAAATGCGGTGTTAGCTGGAGGCTGAAAGCTAGTTATAGGTCACAAGGGGTCAAAGAAACGATTGAGTGTGTCATCCGGGATATGTATCCAAATCGCAGTTTTCGAACTATGGTGCGAAACGAGATCTGAATACATGCTAGTTTGGGGAGAGGTAGTAATACATGCCGGGATCATTTCTTGGGGCCCAGCAACGTTGCCGTTTTAATGAGCCTTAAGCAATGTCGCGGGAAGGTTCTAGAGTATCTGTTTGGCGTTTGGTCTCGAGTGTGATACTTATAAAGTCTGCACTGGGATTCCTGTCTTTTTCTGTTGTGGCGCTAGTCTAGTTAAGGAGGTCATGCACATAGCTCCGATGTTCCTTGTGAAGATCTAGCGGTCACCCGACGACGGCGTCTAGGTTGCTTATCACAACCCAGTCTCGTGTCTATGCGGCTGCTCAGAGTCGCAGTTCATCATCTGATGTTCAACATGCAGCTCGGCATTGTACGTTGCGGTCGAGAAGCCAGGCATACCTGAATCTGTTCTAAGCAGTCTCTGACCTTGATTTACCTCACTCCATGTTGGAAATATACCTTCGAGTATTCGTTGGTTGAATATCGAGAGTGCGACAGGGGTGGAGTTGGTAATCGCTAAGCATAGCCATGGAGAAGAAGGCCCCGAGGAGAGATGCTGCATGTGTGGTAGTGATTATGTACATGACAGCAGTGTTAGTCTTTTGTTCACCTGGCCTCGTCCAGGGTAGAAGTCCGTTGAAGAATCGCGCTCTGAAGAGTGATATCAAAGTTCCGGCCACCAAGGATGAGGTAGCTGCAGAGTTTCTGAGCTGGGTGGCATCAGTGGTCACTGACTACGAGAACAAAACCTCGTCACAGACGAATTCTCCGAGTAGACTTCCAAACCTTGGTATTAAAGCAGAACCACCAATCTATTATGTGGATCAAGCAGGATATGGGAACTTCAGAACCGTTCAGGAGGCTGTGAACGCTGTTCCTGAGGGCAACTCAATGCGCGTCATCATACTCGTGAAGCCTGGCATTTACAGGTAGGGTTCTATTCGTCGTTCTAACAAGGATCTATTTGCTAGTTCGAGGAAACGCGTAAGTAAAAGCCTAAACCAACTGACTGGACCTCCACTCTTGACATGCGTGACCTGCTGCAGAGAGAGGGTGAACATACCGAAATCCAAAGGATATATAACTCTGCAAGGTTCAGGGAAGGAGTCGACGAGTATAGACTACAACGAGAATGCTGCTTCAGCTGGAAGCACGTATGACAGCGCCACTGTTGCCGTCTTCTCTGACTACTTCGTGGCTAGGGACATCAGCTTCAGAGTAAATTTTTCTTTCCATCTAATTGTACTTCTCTTGCATCCAGAGATCATGAGTCTTTGAGGTTTCAAGAATAATGTGAGCATTCGAAGTCATTTAGAACTTTGCACTTAATACAATGCGTTGTGGTCACAGAATTCTGCACCAGCTCCACCCTCAGGAGCGGTGAACATGCAAGCGGTGGCACTTCGCATCACAGGCGACTGCGCTGCATTCTACGGTTGTGGCTTCTACGGATCTCAGGACACGCTCAATGACGATATGGGGCGTCACTACTACAAGAACTGCGAGATAGTTGGATCCATTGACTTCATCTTTGGAGATGCCCAGTCTCTCTACAAGGTGAGTAGCCAAGCTCGTCAATCTCTTAGGAGTTTTCATGATGAACAAACAAATGTGCATGTGTGTTTAATATAGAGACGATTGTTGCAGGATTGCGCATTGAATGTTAATGCGGCCACATACGGATCCGTGACGGCACAGAAGCGGGAATCCAGCAGCCGAAGAACCGGATTCTCGTTCGTGGGGGGCAGCCTCCTCGGATCTGGCCAAGTGTATCTGGGACGAGCCTGGGGACCGTACTCGCGCGTAGTTTTTGCTTTCACATTCATGCAGGACATTGTCATTCGCGAAGGCTGGCACAACTGGAACGATCCGAACAGGCAGCGGTAACTTTTCGAACTCCACTATGACCAGTGAATTTTATTGTCATGGTTGTTTACAAGCATCATGGGATTATTAGGTTGAGATGAAACTGGTCTAAAGCTACTTGATGACTGAATTTAGCTATGGACATGCTTGGAGTGTTGCACAGGACGGCGTATTACGGGCAATATAAGTGCTTAGGTCCCGGTGCAACGGAGAATGGTCGAGTTGAGTGGTCTCATGAGCTCACAGATGCCGAAGCGGCTCCCTTCCTCTCTCTCGCGTTCATTGATGGCCAAGACTGGGTGACCGAACCATAGCGTGCAACATTTGCACTTGTATCAACGTACTTTGAGGAAAAAAAAACATAATAATGATTCATCTTAAAATAGGAATTGCAATCACAACCGTGGAGCTCGCATGTGTTCAGTAGATTGCGCAAAGAGCTCTTCAAAAGAACAACTTAAGCGCGTTCAAAGAATATCAGAATGATTGTTTTGCTGAGGCAGTGTGAACTGCGGAGTGTCATAGAATTAAAATAAAATCAAGCTAGGTCTTGTAAGTTGCTGTGGGAATACTTCTGTCATGCATCTTCCAGTGTGCGCATATTATCCAAAGATCGCGTCAGTGTGTTGCCTCTGATATTTTGTATGATATGAAAAAAATTCATCCCCTTCAGATTTCTGTTGTCTGATATGTTTGCTGATTGGGATTGGTCGAACTTGGACTTACTACAGTAGTAATGAGTCAGCGAATTCCAATTTTATTGACACGGAGAGTTGAACCCACCCACGGCTGGTGGTACTGTGCACGAATTCGACACAGTACTGTTTGAATTCGCCAGCATGAAAAGAGTTAGCCACACTGACAATCTCAGTGTGGTTTGTGGGAGTGCACCAACAACTTTCTGTTGGATCGGTGTAAGTTACGGCACAGTAACAAGTACAACACACGGTTTTAAACTTGCTGGACACAATCATCGGCTCCAGCAGTGCTTACTTGTGGACCAAACCCCTTGACATGGCAACGTTGTGTACATCAATTGCTGGATGTAACAATGGGATATTTGAAAGACACCAGAAAGTCATGGTAGACTCCATGACTTCATGGCTTCATAGCTATTGTAAGGTGTCCGACACTTACAGATCAGTTCCAAGTTGTGGCGATATACGAACGAAGATATCTGTGCGAAGATGTGATGTTTCGAGCTATGAAGCCACTGCTACTGATCCCAACTGAGGCGCTGCCGAGCGTGAAATAATTCGTAACAACCGCCGTGTCGTTCCAGTCGATCAAAGACTAACCAAACCCTACTCATGTGATCCAAGGGTCGGTACAAGGAGGATAACCTTCTTCCCGTGTTTATCACACCCGATGAATCGCCATTGAAATTTAGCACTGTGGACTAATAATCCCCTTCCCAAAACCTTTCGAATTCGACTCTGCGCCTGGAATACCCTGGATAAATTTGTAACGTATTGAATTAAGCGAGGTACACATCTCAGTGAATTGAGTCAAGTGCTTCTGTAGTGCTGCGGCAATTGTGAGGATTCACAGAGTGTCCCGTAAACCATCGTGAGGAGCTTCTGCTTCGTATCCACAGCGAGGAGTTCCTGGTATGGGTTCTGGGACGAGTTCTGATAGGAAAGCTGGTCTCGACCTCCATCTGGCCTGGCTCCTGAGTAATTTCCGACCTTTAGATAGACTACGCTTCAAGTCATCTATTTTCTTGATGATGTTTGTTACTGCTTTTTGTTCAATCACTTGCAAACTAGAAACGTGATTAGTAGAATACCTACAATGTTTGTTTGCCAACTACAATGATCTTAGCACATAGTAAAAATTTGATATCATTTTTTCAATCAAGTTTAGATCACCTCTAAGAATCAAATAATGTTCTTCAAATAGATTGTCCATCACTTCTCTCTAAAAATTGGCTATGCCACTTTATACTCCTAAATACTTACGTTGTTATAATATATGTTATTTTTTGAAGTATTTTGAGAAGTGTTTTAAAATATTCTATTATTTACAATTAAAAAAGAATAAAAAAGTATAAACATCATTAAAATTAATATGTTTTCTTAATGTAAAAATTAGAACCTCTACACCATTATTATTATTATTATTATTTTAAAAAATGAATACAATATCCACATTGTTTACAATAAGATTGCATATCTAGTCGTGCAAAGCTCAAGTAGAGATTTGTCTTTATTGCTTGGCTAATAATCGTATCTATTATGGTGGCCTCTTTAGTCCTACTAACACATTTTGTACTCCAAAATAGAGCTACATGTTTTTGTTGCAACTTCCCAAAGTGCATGCAGTTTTGATATAGACTATGGATCGTTTGAGATCTTTGTTGACATGTTCAAGATTAAAAGGGAGTTCTTTCAAGTTGATTGGATTTCTTTTGCTTGATCAAGCCTCGGTAAAGTTCCTTCCTAATCAAATTACAAATTCTAGTAAATTAAGTGTAGATATATTATATTAGAAATTCAAATTATGGTAGTGAAATTAGATTATAATGGTATTTTTTGGATAGTGGCCTTTGGGAGTTCGTAGAGTCCTTAATCTAGCATATAATAATCTACAGCTAGGCTTTTGAGTTGTGAAGGCTTTGTGGTACTATCTTTCTACTAAATTTTATCTTTGTAAGAATCTACGATCATATCTAGTATATCAAATCTAGGCTTCTAACTTTTGAGCTATGTGTGCTTGTTGAAGTTTGGCCTAGGCTTCTTATTCTATGTAAGGAAATTATCAAATAAGTAATATTTTACTGCTCTAAAATGATGTATGCAAGGTTTTCATGAACTTATAAGTCATTCACTTTCAAACGAATGCCATTAGGATGCTTATAGATTGTCTTCTTTCAAAAGATTGTGCATGTTGTTTATAGTGCCTCTCATACATGTGCTTTTGGTTTTATTGTCACTAAGCTACTAAGATTATTGTTGAAAAACTTGTTTGGCAATCTTATATACTTGAAATTGCTTGTTGTCATGATTCCTAGTATCATTCAAAAATAGTCCTAAATATTGACCAATTACCACAAATATAAGTGTTTTTGAATTCTATTGTTGATAGTGATGTTAAATGCCCTTGGATACAACTTGCAGCTTATAGCAATAGTATAGAAAGCAAAATCCATTGTAGCAATACTTCTATCACTCCTTTATTTAAAAGCGATGGTATCTATAATCGACAACATAAACAAGTTAGATGTAGTTATTCTAAGTTTTGGCTATTTAACAGGCTACATGAATAGCAAATAGTGGGTGTTGGTTGAGTTCTACAATCTGAGGTGCATTTGGTGCAACAAATTAGCATCCACTTTTGCAAAAGTGACCTTCATCTCCAAAGCTGATGGTACAATTCCTGTCGAGGTAGATGTCACCTAGAATTTGAAGCTATCTGGTTGATTTAATGAACCTTACTTCCCCTTTACAATTGTATTGTATGTTTCAAAATATGTTGAATTTGTGATTTGGTCTATGTGAATGAACAAAAAAACCTCATTATTTCTCAACTTCAAGAATTTGATAATTCCACCTAGTATTTTTTCTAACTAAACTATAACAAAAATATTTCATATGAATCTAAAATCTTTTCTAATGATTTGGTATACAACAAGTCAGTCTCCATTCAATATTTAGGACGATAAATTCTTTATTTATCTTCAAATAACATAATTTGGTATCTAAAAAAAATTAGTATTTTTTATTTTTTCTCATATTAATTTAATTCAGTTAGACCTAAAAAGTTTGTACAATGACTTTGTTCATATATCTAATCTTGTGGTTATAATATTATTTTTTTTTATAGAAAAGAACATATTATTTTTATAACTTATGCATGGTTTCAAATATCAAACTCCTCTATATCAAAAGAGCACTAAAGACATACCTCAAACCCTAGTAATAAATGCGCATTTTCTCCTTTTTAAAAATTCTTTAAATCTTACACATATAAATATTTTGAACTAGTACAATTAGGATTATTTTGAATTTGATAAATTCACTTCATAGATATTTAAATTTATAAATTTTATTAAATAATCATATTTAATTTAAAATTTCAACTAAATATTCAGAGAATTAACTTATTTATTCAAAAATAAATACATATCTTATTCTTAATTTTTTTTAAAAAAAATTATGTCTTTGTATAGTGTAATATCATCCACAAAACCAAATTTGAAATAAGAAGCTACACATACTCAATATTCCCCAAATTTTTCTAAATATGACACCCACATCACCACTTTTTAAATAAAGTAACTCACACATGCAAAAGATGGAGAAAAGAACGCATACCACGTTCCCATGTGTACAAGAGAACGCGCACTATCGTCAGCTTCAAAGCCGCGCGATGCCGCGGTGATGCCGTCATCCTGCCGCAGAATGCCTCGTAATGCCGCTGAGTGATGGTGGCGCGAGGTGACGCACAATGCCGCCGAGAAAGTTTCCAAGCACTTGTGGAACTTGCCCACGGCGATTGCTGTCAGTGCGATTCATGGAGAGGCAGTTGTCTGGATTTGCCAGATTCTACCCTTTTGTTGTGCTTGTGCATGTGCGGCACACACGCATACCTCACTTTGTTGCCTTGCCTTGGAGGAATCGATCGAGCCCACAGGGTACTACGCCATAGCCTGTTTTTTGTTGGAATTGTCGAGAGCTTGCGTGTGGGTGCTTTGGTGATTGTGGGTATCTCCGTTTCAGCTGTGAAGAATCTTGAATAGTGGGAATTGGGTTTGGTGTTGAATTGTCTTCTAGAAGTGCTTGAGAGTGGAATCCGTGTTGGAATTAGCTTGCGATGGCGGAAGATAGGTACAAACCCTGGTGGGCGATTGACAAGGCCGCATGGCGAGAGGCTTTTGAGCCGTTCTTTAAGTTCAAGAGCATTTCGGACCACCGTGACACGCCGTTGCCTCCCTGGAGCGAAGCCGATGTGCAGGAGTTCATCGATTCTGACCCTGTCTACGGCCCTCGGCTCAAACAGGTTTTCCTTTCGTCTTTCCTTTCCTAGTGTCCTGTTCTTGCAGGAATATGGTTTTCATTTTCACTTCGTCTTGGCGATTGCAGAAACCGTGTCAGCATGTCTGTTGATGCTTAAGTATTGTTCGAAACGTTTATTGAAATTGACGTCGCGCGCTTGCGAATGTGCTGAGTTTTCTCTTCCACAATTGATACCAGGCTCTCTAGGGTTTCCGACTAAGTCAATTGCCGCGAACTCCATCATCGTGAACACCATTATGGGTGATGTTGTGTTCTCGTTTTCTAGGTTTTATGAGTCCTGACGTTCTTCAAGAATGTGCGACGGAACTGTTCACTATCTTGTAGGATTGTTGAGGGTTCTCGAGCTTGTCGATGTTCTTCTCATGCAGGATCCACTTTTACGTTGAACCTTATGTCTTGGATTATAGAATTGGATTCTTTTGTCTCTGCACTTGTAACTGCAATGGTGTATCGTCGTTTATTTCTTTAATCTATATTTGTTATCTGCCTTGTTTTTGTGACACCAGTTTTCCAACTTAATGAAATTGGTATTGTCGGAGTCATTTGATCAAGGTTAATCGCGTCTGCGAGTGTCACATTTAGATTTGTTTCATTGTATTTGCGCGCTAAAACTCACATGTCTGGAACACAACTGCACCCCTGAAATGACAAAGTACCTTCAACTCTAGATTCTACTGAAGGGCGACATATTGTCCTGCTATGAGTTCCATGACTTCTACCTGTTCAACGGCAACTAATCGAGCCTTACTAGAATGTTAAGCTGCATTTATTTGATTTCAACAGCCAAGCCAGCAGACAAAGTTTGGGTTTATCAACAGTTGGTGTGAAACCTGTGTTTAATGACTGGTTAATTTGATACAGGTGAGGCAAGGAGCCACTATCGCCAATTATGGAGCTCTGGTCGGAGGTCTGGCAACAGCAGGTGTTGCTTTTAGGTACTCAAAAAATATTCCTGGAGCGTTGGGTGCCTTTCTTGGCGGGACAGCCATGAGCTGGGCTGTTGCCGAAGAAGGAGCTAATTTTGCATTAGGACTTTACAAGTTCAACTGTATGGACGTAAACCTCAAGTTTCTGGATTGGTGGGAACGGAAGCAAGGTTGAGGTCTCCGCTTTGGAAGACGCTACATTAACGAGGTTAAGAGTCTTAAACACAGTACCGATGGACCTTGACATTTTTTCATAGCCAATATGAAGCAGGTTCATCACAATGCAACTTTTATCGACTACTATATCCGGGTATGAACTGGCTTTACTTCCGCAACTGAAAACTGGTGTTGCATATGTGCATGGATGGTTGAAGCTTACAAAGGAGGACGTAGACAGGATTCTATGTATTGCACACAGTTGAAAAAAGTCAAACATTGAGTCCTTTAAGAACACTTGCAGATATAACACTGTTTATATTTCATTGCTAACATATTTTGAACTCACGGCGATGCTTCTGCCGCACTTACCTTGCGGTTATCTTTCCAAGGTTGCAGGAGTAACCTGAACAATCTGTTGCCTAGTTGCCTTTTCGTGATGCACGAACATTACAAAAATTAAAGCACTGGATTTGGTTTTTCACTTCTTTACTTTTTTAAATATTCAAATTGAGTTACCCATGATTCCATTTTATTTTATTGTATACATTTGTATCTACACATATTACAACTAATGGCTCACACAAGCAATGATTTGTGATTTTTAATTCGTTTTTATGAACTTGAATTTCAGATTATAGTCGTTGTCTTAATTATTTTTATTTTATAAACAACACAAGGTAATTATTCTGGTCTAAACCTAGTTGATTCAAATTAAAATGTGGTATTTATAGAATATTAGTTTAAATCAAGCTTAATTGTCAATGAATATTTATAAAAGAATGTATGCAATTGTAAATGTTTTAGGCTTTTAAACATTAATATTATAAATATCAAGTTTTGTGTAAAGGAATCTAATTGATATTAGTATTGTGTGCATGGGTGTAGGTGTCGAGAATGTCACTTATAGAAATTAAAAATCCAAGATTAGATCATGTTAAATAAAACTATGTGATGTTTTGATATCAAAGTAATAAAACTATTTATAAAAATAAAAAACCCAAAATTTAAATAAAACTATGTGATACTTTAATTTTTAAGTAAAAAAAACTATGTGCAAAATAAATATGATATTACAAATTGTAATCAACAACACTCTTTTATACAAAAACGCTTATATATAAGCTATTCATAAATTACATTAGTCAAATTCTTATTTGTTATATTGTCATTTGATGTATTTTATCCAATTATTAAGTAATTTTGTATATAATGTTTATTTTTTAAAATTTAAAAGATATGTAAGATGAAGTATATTAATTATATTTTATTATTTACTCATGTCAACTTTCTCCAAAGATTTTCTCCAACAAATCCTCTTTATTTTATGCCCACAAATACTTTACCAGGGAAAACGATGTGAAAAGACATGTTCATTCAGGTCTTGAAAGAAAAAAGATAAAATTTGATATTTGTTTTCATGATGGCAGGGTTCGATGCTAACCCTAATTACAGTAACCCTAATTTTTCTGAAGTCCATCTTGTATCTTCGCCCTGGATCCATGCGCGTCGTCCCAGACTCGGAGCTATCTTTCCTCGTCAGACGGAGGCCATGTCGATCATCAATCCATTAAAGTTGATAGAAGAAAAGATATGCTGGTCGCAATATTGTTGCAACTCTGCTTCCAGGATAACTGGTTAGTTTCCCCAGTTTTTTTGTGATCGATCGGTAGTTAATTGTGGTTTTTCGGTTGTTTCCTTTTAGTTGCGATCATGCACAGGGCTCTTAGAAAATTTGAAATGGGACTCGAACGATACTCCTAATAGTGGCAGTCCTCCTCGCGGAGTATGTGATTGATTGGAAGTCTGTATTTCCATTAGGTTGACGCAGACGAATGATCGGAAACGCGAAATCCGTCACATGCAGAATCTGGCTAGAAGCACACAAATGCCCTAAATTCTACGCTAGGGATGCGCTATCCGGAATCGTAGTAGAGTTGATCTTGAACCGCGGGATACAGCCTATGACAGAGCGTGTTCCTTCATGTGCCTTCTGGTGCATGGCGTAAAAAACAGGCTATTAACCGGACTTTATTCTGGGAAGAATGTTGTGGACTTGCTTTGAAAACACATCACAACTCAGTCAGTCAACCAGGAATGTGATGAAGAGGAATAGAGGGTTAAACTTGAGAACACAAGACGATTGGAAGTGCGAAGTTAGACCGAATTAGATGCCGCTCTCTGCAATGTAGGGATACTGTTAACGACACTTCCATTGTATTATTAGGTTCTACTTTGCGTCACTCAACAGTCTTCATGTCTGTCCTAGCTTTTACTGTATGTACAAACGATTGTAGGAGATTCCCTAATTTGTTGTTCGGATCTAGTTTGCGAAGACTTTTTGGTTGGTCTTCTTTGTTTTACGAAATTGTAAAAACAACGTTCCCCATCGAAATGCTAACGATGTAAATACTGCTTATTCAATAGCTGTACTTGAACCCTCCTGCTGAACGTAGATTTTAAAACTCTCTATTCATATTGCACAATGTTTGAGACTTCCAAACTAATCCGATTACCACGCGATTGCTGATTCAAGCTATTTGTGCAGAAGTAGAGACAGGTAGAGACGCTTCACCGATTCCGACAGTTCTGAACTATACATCAATTCGTGCACGTCACGAGGAACTTCATCGCTCCCTTTCAGTAACTTCTGCGAAGTTTTGTTTCATAAGAGCATGAAGATTGTGCAAATTCTGGTGTACTGCAAGGCCTGCAAGTGCGCTAGAAGGCCCTAAGAGGATTTCAAGGTAAAATAGTATCCTCCTTTCTCTCGTTTGTGGTCTTTTCTTTAAACTTGACTTTTGATAGAGAAGCCTTGAATCCAGTCCTGTAAGTGAGTGCTTCATTTCTGAACCTGGCTGCCTCAATGTTGAATGAACTCGAGTCATTTCTTGAAGACTCTGAGGAAGGTCACTTCCAAGCGACCTTTGCAAACTCGCAATTGTAGGGTAACTTACATCCACATGATCAGATGCAGATGACCAAAGTACAATAGTATACTAACTGTTACTACTTTGCGGAGGAACTTCACGTTTCTCAAGAGCCCTAACCTCCAGAAAGAAGGAATGGGTGCTTCCTCGTTAGTTCTGGAGTTTTCGTATGCGATAAATGCTTGATTTTCAAGTAGAGGTTGTTCAATCTTTTCAGGAAGCTTCGTCTCCACGAAATCTCTCTTTAAGCCATAATCTAGAAACGGAGGTCCCTGATTTTCAGTTCTCGCCAACGCTTTCCTGCTTGGATGATGAAATTCATAACATCGCATTAAGGGTTACGCATCTCTCATGACTTTAAGCATATATATTAGTACGGATCCAACAGCAATTCTTGAGAAAATCTTCCAGTAATCATATGTCTTCACCTTGAAGAACCAATCCAAGATCGAGGTGCTCGCCGGGGTACTTTTGGCCATCTCACCCAAAAATGCCAAAATTTTCAACTTTTCGTAGGTGGGAGACCACTCTGCATGGTCAAATGAGGTGCAGCTGTAGCAGTGTTTGACTCGCTTGGTTGAGAATAACAATCTTAATAGATGAGGGTTACGTCCTAGGCATCCCTAAATCATAAAATCCGACTCTCGACAATTCAACCGTTCCTCGTGCCAGCGCCTAGGGTGTCGACTCTGTACAGTCTCATGTAAAGCGGCGGAAGATATAATTTCCTACTGATTTAACAAAACGAGAAAGCAGCATTCAACAAAAGTATCTTCAATAAACAACAAAACGCGAGTGTACTTGACGCATCAGCAATCATTTAAGAGAAACAACGTGGCTCTTACAACTCATTAAAGGCATGAACCACAAAGTCGTAATGACAAATTCAATGTGACAGAAACCCTTCACTCAAGCCTCACGTAAGCTATGAGATGACACGGAAAACAGAATCCCCGGACGATATTTTTTTAGCTTTAGTATGTAAAACCGGTAACAAGACAGTCATTCGCTGTTGATTCCAACCAAACCAAGACAACACTTTGAATCGCAACCCAAAACCCCATTAATAACCGTCATTTCAAAAATTGCAACTGCGATTCTCATCCCAGCCGATATCGATAAGTACCGTCTGACACAGCGTTCCCGATGCTGTTAATCTGAGCATGCGCGTTGCGCACACCAACACCGCATGAAATCCGACACATTTGGCCACCATTGTTCCGCGCAGAGAGTGGACTTCCTCTGAAACTCAATGAAACCGTTCTCTCGTCACATTCAACAGATCGAAAAGACGCCAACGATACGGACACAGTGGACCAATGCCTCTAGAGATTACCGGTACAGACAAACCCCTTCACATCGATCTCGAACCCATCTCGAACCCTTCTTTTAGACTCCTTTACTCCTCGATCGTCAGAGTTCCGCCGTCACTACACTTCACAGCCTAGCTCACCCTTCAAGCAAATTTGGGCCCACCACCACGAGAAGCCATTCGGGTTTCCTGAACCATCAGTCGTTTAGGGTTTACCAATTCATCTAGGCATTGGGGGCTTACCAACATATCAAGCTATTAGGGGTTTACCAATTCATCAAGCAATATGGGCTCATTGATTCTTCAAGCTCCTAAAATTTATCTTTAAAGCTCCAAGATTATAAAACACATTATTATAATCCAAATAGACTAATAAACCATTTGGACTAATTCATATAGATTTTTCAATCTGTAATTGATTTATCACATAAAATTGTATACTACAATAGACAACTATCTACAATCTTAAGTTGTAGGTCTCAACTTTATTCAATAAATCATGCATTGTAACTATAATTTGTCACAAGCCAAATAAAGTTATTTTTAAATTTAAAAAAAGATCAAAATTTTCTTTATACAAATCATCTTACATGCATATATGTATTTATTTACACACTAATGCATTGTAAAACATGACTGAATTTTCTTAAAGATTTAAAATCCTTCTAGTCTATAATAACACAAATTCCATCACAAAGTAGGACAAAACAAATCAAAATAAAACTAAACAAAAGTAAACAAAATAGAACATGAAAGACAAAAGAGAGCAACAGAACATAAAATAGAACATAACAGAAAATGGAAACAAAACTTTACTAAGAAAAAAGGACCAAAGCCATATCTGACCAAATGACTCAATTGGCCTCAAACAATCATATTTATACTATGTCAACATATCTTGGAACTTTCTAGAAGTCTCTAATAGTAGGTCCGATCAAGATAACCATCATTTTCAAATATTTTAGAGATACGCTCCACCTAAATAATTGCCTTTAATTTTTTTAGGATGTTTTGTAGTGGATCCTATATAAACCACCAACTTGGTCTCAATTCTAAAAACTTCTAAAAACTTTCTAAAAATGGCTCCAATTATCTATTTCTATGTGTCAATAATACAATTATCTTATCTACATCATGTTATAATTAATCCTCCTCTATTAATACGAAACGTCCTCGTTTTTCTCGTAATAATACTTCCAAATTGTTTCTTGGCAATTGATGAGATTCTATATAAGTTTTCATGTAGCATTGTAGATGAAATAGCCTTTTCAGAGGACCTTACATTGATGTTGCAGACATCCATTGCTAGAACGAAGATAGTGATGCTCTAAAATGTAGTCTACTTCATACTTTTGTTGGTCATTAATTACAACTGGTGGTGATGGTAGTTGGTGTCAATTTGAGAAGCATCTTGATTTAGTATGAAAGTCCTTGAGGTCTAAAGTATAGAAGATTAGATGGACCAAAATATGTGGCGGAAGCTCGAGGCAGTATGTAATATTAGAAATCACTACAAAAATGCGGAGAGGTCCAAGCCACAAAGGCGTTAGCTTACGGACTTGGATTAATGTAGCAAGTAGAAAGTTGGTATTAAAAAGTAATACCTAGTCACCCTCTTCAAAGGTCTTATATTGCCGATGGTTATTTGCATACTGCTTCTATTGATTATGTGTTATAAAGAAGCAATGTTGTGTTTCTTGTAAGATAGTTATAAGCTATTGTAAAAATTCTTTTATTTTGGGTTGTTGGTGTTGATGAAAGAATAGAGAGTTGTTGATATAATCGGATGCTGACTAGTGTTAAGGAAGAATGGTGAATGACTAATACTTGCTTGAATACTATCATTATAAGTAAATTCTGATTGTGTCAAATATTCATCTCTGCCATTACGATGAACTATCACAAATGTCCATAGCATATCTTCTAAGGTCCAATTTGCATGCTTTGTTTGTCCATTTGTTTAAGGATGGAAGGTCGTAAACATGATAATTTGTGCATCAAGTAGCTTGAACAAGGCCTGCCAAAAATTCCCCATAAAGCATGAATCTTGGTCTAAAACAATGACATGATGTCATCCATGATAACAAAAGATAGTATCAAAGAAGACCCATGCAAGTGCTAGGACATCAATATTAGATTGCACCATAGCCAAGTGAAGTTATTTTGAGAGTTGGTCTACAAAGACAATAACTATGGAATAATTATAAGGCATTTGTAACAAACACGTAACGAGGTCCATGATCACTTACTTCCAATGTGTTGTAAGTAATGGAATTGGATGCAATAGCCTAAAAGATGTCATTGTCATATTGCATGCTTTGTTATATTGGCATAACTCGCAAGCGCATACAAAAGCTTGAATATTATAGTTCAAACCTATCCAAAATCATATCCTTGAGATTTGTTCTAAAGTCTTTTTATACCTTAGATGCTTAGATATTGGAATATTATGTCTTCCTTGAAGCATGCACATCCAAAGTATAACATCATGAAGTATATAAATCTGCTTTTTGAAATAGAGCAAGCCATCATTAAAACTATAATCTTGATATTGTACATTGTCCACCTTCAAACAATTGCTAACTATCTTGAAATAAGCATCCTAATACTTAGCTTCCTTCTATTCTACTTATTTGATTAGGTTTGAAATAATACTACTAATGGTAGCAACTTCTGCCTTATTCTTAATTCGGCTTTTAAGTCTGATGTCTACAATAAGTTGTTGGACATAGTATATTGTTGCCCTTCTTTGTACTCAAGTTGAATATCAAAAGCTACAATTATTCTTTTCAACAATGATGTCGTGATTTCATATTTTCTAGATGCAAATTATATAGCAAGGATCAATAGTCAATCTGAACAATCATTGGCTTCCTCAATACATAGTATTGCCACACTTTTGTAGCATATACAATTGCTAATTGCTCTTAATTACATGCAAAATAATTATGCTCTATCCTTTTGAGTTTGCGTGATTCATACACCATGGATTGAAGGCTCCTACCAAAGTCTTATTGAAAGACTGTTTCAATAACAAAGTTGGAAGCAACAATGTCAAATGTATAAGAAAGGTTGGGATCATATGGTTGTAATATTAGAACAATAATCAATGCCTCTTTTAACCTATCAAAGGTACTTTGTTGGTCCAATTTCCACTCAAATGAAACAACTTCTCCAATAGGCTTACCAATGAGACATATTTTCGGTGCAAAGAGTATATATATATATATATATATATATATATATATATAGAATTTATTTTTACATATTATGTACTCACAAAAATTATTGTTTATATAAAATTTTAGCTTATCAAAAATATTAGCTATTTACAAACTTAGTTAGATGAAATCATTAAAGAATATTATTTTAAAAATTTAATTAATTAATTAATTAGTTTGACTATTTCAATATAAAAATCTATTATATATATATATATATATATATATATATATATATATATATGAAACCTTATCATTTTATCAAATACATATAGTATAAGATGAATATGGTTCAAAATAAATTGGACATCTATAAGACAAACTACAATATTTAGTTAGTAAAAATAAATTTAATTTTAATGTATTTTTAGATTTTATAAAAATTGATAATATTGTAAATATATGCAACAAAAGATTGATATGACGATCAATGGTATGTTATGGTTGAATAGCATAATTGTAGATAAATTATAACAACAAATAAATAAATTGGTCTTATTGAAAAATTAATTAAGATAAGAAATCTCTATAATATTTTTTAGTTCATATTTTTAATAAACTAAAGAGAAGGTAGACTAATGTTATTCTCATTACTCTTATATTATGGCCTACCAAAAGTTAACCAATCAAACCAAAAGAACAATTTAGACTATTCCAATTTTATTGGGGGAGAATGTTAAATAGACCAAAGTTTTTACTAAATCATGAAAAAAAAAAAAATGATCTTTAGGTTCATTTCTCCACTATTGGATCTACAACCAATAAAAATCAACCACATTCATCATGATTACCATATTCTTCATCAAGAGTGAGTCCATTTAGTAAAATCATGGATCTATTTAACATTCCTTTTTTTAATAAATATTTGAATGAACATTAGTTTCAAAAATTTGTCATCCCTAATACATAATATAATAATATAGGATTGATTATTGATTACCCTGCAACATTGCCCATGTGCACTTTTCTACCATCAAAGTAGTAGGCAAATCTCTGTCTTGTGTTTCAAGGACATTAAGAACATAAAAACAACAAAAATATAATTTTAAGGGACATTGAAGTAGCACTGCTTGAAATCTTGCTCGTGAACAGAGAAACCGGTCGGAGAAGATAAAAGAGGGATTGAGGAAAAAACGCCGCTGCAAGTGGAGTTCACTGCGCCGCACAGCCGCTCTTCTAGACCGAGTCCAGAGGAGAGACATTTCAGTCACTTCGGCAGAAGTTGCAGGCTCAGCAATTGAAGAGGAGGAGGAGAACACATTTTGGCACCACTCTCTCATACATAGTCAACAAAATTGACCTCACCAACTGCCATTTTGATAACGTTTCATGACGTAGGACGTGGAATGGCAACCCATGAGCTGAAGAAAAAAAATGGAGGGGTTGAGATTTTGTCCGCATGCCTTCCACAAGGATCTCTTTCCAGCCTTGCCGCTCACGGTGAACCATTTATTTATATTACCGAAAGCTGGAATCTTTTGTCGATTCTGCTCGTTTTGCAGCTACTTGTGCGCATTCCACCTATTCTTTTTTAAGAATCTGCTTGTATTTTCACATCTGTGCTGGTTGTGCAGGGTGATGTGTGTGCTTCCGCGTTGTTCGCGGAAGCTGGAAGAGGTTTCTCGTTCGCGGCATGGAGGTGTTGTTCATCAGCTTGAGTGTTAGGAACTGGGTAGCTTCATGGGTTGTGTGAGAGTCTGTGAAGTGTTCCAGGGCTCGGATATGGCAGCAAGTGATCCACGTTGGGTCGAGTCGGTCGCATCCCTGAACTGGGTTTGGTTACCAACCGGCACGAATGATGGGCATTTTGCAACGATTTTGTATCTTCATCTCTCGGAGAAGCTCCTCCGAAGCTGGATCTGCCTCTTCCAACAGGTGCTGTATTGTCTTTCTTTCGATGACGGAGAAACCTGTTTTTTTCGTAAGGTTGGAGATGCACTGTTATAGAGTAGTGGTAGTAGTAGTTAGCATCCTGGCTAGACCATGTGACGGGGATTCTTTTTGGATTCGTTTTGGTTGACCCTCCCTGTGAATAAATGTTGTTTTTCCAAAATCCATTATAACGGTGGGGAGTTTTTTTCGTTTAGATTGGTCACATTGTCAGCTTCGTAGAGTCTCTGAGATTGTCGCGGGCATTGCTTCTGGTTTTTTTCGAGGTTTTTATGCATGATTTAAGTGAACCGCCACGAACGTGCAGAATCTGTGTACCGTATTTGCTTGTAGTTGTCGAGTCTCAACTGTGATTTCGAGATTGCCATTGTGTTGTCTTTACAATCAAAGGTGTAAATTAGTTCACTGTGCAGCTAGATTCAGAAGTTCGTAAGTCGCTGCTGCTTCCGTCAAGAGGGGTGAGGAGAAACAAGATTCGAGCAACTCTAAATGTTTTGAATTTGAAAGTTTCAATTCAGGGATGCTTTTGACATTTCCTGTTGGTTGGAGCAGATAGGAGTTTTGGGGTGGACCGTGCTTGCACTTCACCAGATTGAGTCCTTCACGCCCATGTCAATATCAGAACTGAAATCTCAGTTGAGACAAATGTGTCGATACGCTTCCCGTCATGAAGTCCGGTTGCTTCTGGTGTCCACCTTGCTCATGTTGTCCGTCGAAATTCAGACAGCGAATGCGCAGCAATCCTACAACAACCGCAGCGGATACGCATGCACAGGGCGCCCAACATGTGAAACGTATGCGCTTTACAGAACACAGGGGAGTCAATCATTGCAATCCATAGCCACGCTTTTCAATACTACTGCGGCAGAAATTGCGAACGCAAGTGACATCAACCCCGCGAACAGTACGAACCTGCTGAGCGATCTCACTCCACTCTACATCCCTCTATCCTGTGGATGTGCTGGTGGTATATACCAAGCGCCTACGTCTAATGTGGTTGAAGCTGGCGAGACGATGTATATTATTTCCAACAAGACTTATCAAGGCCTGACCACTGATGAAGCGATTGCAGCCGCAAACCCTACGGTGGTGCCCACGGAAATGCAACCAGGTCAGGTGCTCAAAATCCCCTTGCGGTGCGCTTGTCCATCAACTGCGCAGCGGGGAAATAACTCCACGCTTTTGCTCACTTATGCGATCTTCCCAGACGAGATTTTGGATGTCATCGGCAGTCGGTTTGGTCTTACGGCTTCAGAATTACAATTTGCAAATAACGTGACTGACCCAACTTCCCTTTTAGCGTTTACCACTTTGCTTATCCCACTTGTGTCACTCACACCTTTGTCTTCGATCCTCTTTCCAAGCCCCCAACCCCCCCCTGCAATTTCTCCTTCTCTTGCCCCAGCCCCTACTCTTGCCACTCCTGTTGTTTCCAAGGATCCCTCCAATACGCCATTGTACATCGGCGTCGCCGTTGGCGCCGTGGGGATGGCTATGGCTGCGATCATGGCGTGTGTGTTATGTGCAACTGTTCGCCGTCACAAGAGGACAACTAACAACAGAGGAGAATTGGATGAGACCAGCAGCGTGGTCAAGCCTCCTGCTGTGGGATTGGACACTACGAACTCAAGCTTCGTTCTTAGCATGTCGGATGTCGTGGGCTCCGACAAGCCTGTCAAATTCTCATACGAAGAGTTGCTCGCCGCCACTAACCGTTTCAGCGAGGACCACAAGATCCAGGGCTCGGTTTACATGGGAAAGTTGAACGGATTGTTTGTGGCTATCAAGCAAATGAAAGGAAACATGTCGAATGAGCTGAAGATTTTGTCCCAGGTCCACCATGGCAACGTGGTATGCCTTCATCGACTTTCCCTTACTTTCGATTCTTATCGATGGGATGTATTGTAGCATTAGAGTTGGTTTGTTAGTTAAAATTTGGTTTCTATCCCTAAGCAACTTTCTGATTGTTGCTCTGTTTGTGTGTTTCAGGTGAGGCTGGTCGGAATGTGCGCTAGCTCTTCGGAAAACTTGTATCTCGTGTACGAGTATGCTGATAACGGCTCACTCAGCGACTGCCTCCACTACCAGATGGCATATCCAAGCTCCAGCTTCTCGAGAAGTGTTAGATTGCTGTCTTGGAAGCTACGCGTTCAAATTGCACTAGACGTTGCCTCTGGCCTCGAGTACTTGCATAACTATACCAACCCTAGTTTGGTGCACAAGGATGTGAAGAGCAGCAACATTCTGCTCGACAGGAATTTCCGTGCGAAGGTGGCCAACTTCGGAATGGCACAGTCTGCCGTACAGAACGGCACTGGCCCCATTATGACCGAGCACATCGTCGGCACACAGGGGTACATGGCTCCGGAGTATCTAGAGCACGGGCTGGTGACAACCAAGGCCGATGTATTCTCCTTCGGAGTGGTGCTTCTGGAAATTTTGTCTGGAAGAGAAGCCACGTTCAGGGACCAAACCACTAGAGTATGCACTCCTCTCTCGTCCACTATCTTCGAAGTGCTCAGTGGCAGCGACCAGATGTCGAAGCTTCAAGCGTGGATGGACACTCGTTTACAAGTCAATGCTTACCCTCGTGACATAGCCTTCAATATGGCCAGCTTGGCCAAAAGCTGTGTGGAGACTGATCCAGCTCTGCGACCCGACATGAAGGACTGCAGCTTTGCGATGTCGAAGATTTGTCAGGCATCTCTGGAGTGGGATTCCTCCACACGTTGTACAGGTGCCTTCATCGAAGCTCGGTGATCAGCGATGGAATGGTGTGTCTTTCGGCACTCACTGCAAAAGCGTGTGTAGTGCTCGTCCATCCTGAGCAGATTGTTTTTAGAAGAGAGCTCTTTGTAACTGCTATCATGGGGAGTTGGGTCGCGGTTTTTTGTAGCGGCGCCGCGTTCTTCGGTCTGCGATGGGACCCCTCAATATAGGTGCAATACCTGATTTTTTCTGTACTGGAAATTTTCAGGGGAAGACATACCCAATTTTTGTAAATTAAAGGATCACCCAAATCCTTGAATTCTTTGTGCATCATCACTGGTGTTGAACTACGCCTTCCAGGTTGGCGAGCATTAGAAGAAACACATATACACTGTCAAAATGTTGACTTATCATCAATCGATGTCGGAGTTTTGATCTTTGTAAGCATTTTGACTTCAATGTCGGTGTTGACACGTGATAAGCACCGAGCTTACCATTATATCTTTATTTCACTTGCATTGTGTTGGAGTCAGCCAATCCCATTTTCCTACAGTAAAAGTGTGTTTGTACTGTATACATAATATTTAATATTTTTTGTGCAACGACTTCCGTTTCTACGTTACCCCAATGAATGTTACTCTTATTGAACTGAGATATTTTCGGTTAATCGTTCTCAAACACAGAGCACTGTTCACGAAGAATAAAAAATACCATCAATAACATAAAATAAACATTCGTATTTAATTCTCACGCAGTGTCGACGAATGGAATATGAGCATGACTTTATGGCAACATTTAACAAAAATAAAAATTGAAAGATGCTGCACCATCAATAACTTTTTGAAGTATATTTTTCTTTGAATACTGAAATTACCACAAAGATAAAAGGACAATATGGTACTGCTGTACACAGCAGCTCGTGATTGTGAACTGCGTAATTCTGCGGTTGTTAGGCAGATTGTCCTCACCTGCTGCCGTTGGATGGTGATGACACACACAGTGTCATGCCTGGAAAATCTCCCCGCGAAAACGCCGTGTGAGGCATATCTGCAGATGTCATGGGGAGACGCAAAGAACACCCAAAAGATGCAAAGTCGCCAGGGAAATCGGCACAGTTCACCAGATTCAACGCTGCAGCAGTTGAAACTTCGGCAGCATCCGAGCAGTGAGCACCCTATTTTTACCACAAACATGCCACAAATGAGGAGTGTAGAGATGCGGCAATCAAGACACCAATGGAAGCACGGTTTTATAATAAGTTTTATTTGCTGCTACTCCATGTCCAGGATTGCTTTGTCACGTCGTTTTGGTGCGGTAAGCTGATTGACTGTCGTGGTTTTGCTCTGCAACGGGTGAAGTTTGGTTCCGCGGCGAGAATCATCCGCGACGTAACGATGTGCGTCTTCGCGAAGGTTGCTGCGAATGCGTGACACACATTGGCCTCAATTGGCAGTCATTTCTACAGTAGGTGGACTCAGGATTTGGATTTCTGACTGTCAAATATGCTTTCCCAGTGCCTCCATTGACACGAGAGAAAGGAAGGGCAAGAGGACCGGACGAGTAGGACTGTGGGTACCTACCAAAAAAGGCTGGCATACCGCATGCTCCGGGGTCCACGTTTTGCGTGAAAAAGTGGGTAAAATTACAATTGATTGCTCACGCAAGTGTCGGCGTCTCTATGGACTAAGAATGTCTCCTGGAGCTGCCATTATCTGCTCATTACTCACAATTTTTCTGCCACCCTCTGTCGTGTGGACGTGTTGAATTCTGCCACTCGTCGCCGAGAGGTTCGTGGGTTTTTGATGGTTTCAGTTCCTGCTGTTTTCGCCCGGAGTCTCAATTGAGAGCTGGTTTGTGAACAAGCTCTGCCGCGTCGAACTTGAAGAATGTCCATGTTTCTGAGTCCGAAGGCTTTCAAGGATCCCATTCTTCGATTGATCGGCGCATGACGTAGAGTTACTCGGTTTGGAACGCTACTCGTAGTCTCGGGGAAGATAGTTTGAGAAATTTCCAACGTTGACGAGAAGGTCAGTGTTGTTGAGCAGAGCGCGTGAAGGTTTTCGTTTGGAGTTTGATTAGGATCGCGCTCTTACGCTACTCGCTTCAATTGCCGCGTCTGAATACGGTTGTTTCTCTAAGGTTTGTTACTCGCTCTCCTCCCTTGAAGAATGGGCGTTGTGTCAGGCTTTGGTTCGTGTGTTAGGCAGATGATGTATTTCGCGGTGCAATGCTGTAGCTAGTGGTCTCTTTGATTCGGGTTGGTGTTCTCTGCCTCCGAGTGCCTCGTGTGCTTAGAGCTAATCGTAATTGTACATGCGTTAGATACGCCCCTTACAAATCCTTTCAAGCAGTAAAGCGACTAGTCGTCTTTGAAAGACAAGTACGTATGCTGTCGTCTCGATTGGGCTTATTCCATGAGCTTGTTCTTTGCGTTGTCTGTTCTTATCGCCCTCTCACATTGATTCCTTATCTTGATTCTTATTGTTTTTAGAATTCTGTTTTTCCCGGTGAGAACAATCAAGCATGACGACTTTCGAGGGCGAGGAGAAAGCCCTGACGCAGGACGTGGATTTGAAAGAAGATATCCTGAAAGAGGAGATGACAGTGGAGGATGGATTGTCCATAGGGAAAATGGAACACGGGTAAGCACTGGCTAGTTTTCACGTATTACACGCACACCTGCACAGTTGTGGAGGTGGGAATTTCTGGTGACGAGGTTTAGCGACTTAGTGGGTGGAACTTTTTCTTATACTTGGGAGTAGCCGTGCGAGCAACTCTTCCAGCCAAATCTAGACTGCTCCTAAGGCCAATCTCCACTGAGCGATGTTGCTCTAATTTCGTTGCGAAAAGTAGTTCTTGGTAGTGGCTATTTGCCATCCATGCTTTTGTTCCAGTTACCGGGTGGATTTATTGAAGTGTATTCGAAACGTGAGGAGCCTCTGGGTCGGTGTCGGTTACACGACGTATCGTAATACACTCGGTTTAAGTCTAGGGGGGCAGCGTAATGTGCGAGCCTACAATTCCCTCACCGCCAAGTACCGGAAGTGCAAGAAAATGGAACTGCAAGTGCTCGCGGGGCTGTTTCAAATGATTTCGAACGCCTAAGCTTCCGGGTTGTATGCGTCTGCGGACATTTTCAAATAAATTTTTTCAAATGAAACCGGATCGAGAGTAGAGGACTTTAGTATGGCGGCCAATGAATGAGTGAACAAGAATGTGTGTTAAGTTTTCCTGTCGTAATGGGGGAAAAGAGAATGTTCAGTGTAATCTGCATTGGAACTCTTACTTAACTCATCCCCTGAAATTCTGGACGCTTTTTCAACTTTCCAAATCTTCTGTGCAGATGTAAGCATTACAGGAGGAGATGCCGAATCCGAGCTCCATGCTGTAATGAGGTCTTTGATTGCCGTCATTGCCACAATGAAGCAAAGGTTTCAACGCTCTCCATCTAGACATTTACAAATTCAAATATGTACAATATGTAAAGTACAGTTGGAAACTCAAGTGTATTGGGTTAGATTTAGGATTGTGAGGGCATCTGCTCATGCAAGGATTGAATGGCACCTGTTTTGCTGTTGTTGTTCGTTCCAATCCTTGAGCTGTTCCTTCGAGCTGGCTGACTGACAAGTGTACAAGTGGTGGTGAGAGTGGCATTTCATTTTTTCCATCGTTGAAAACTAAATCTTAAATGAAGAACCCGGTGACCGGGACTTATTATCAGCTGTTTGTCTTTGTGCAGAACGTTAATGAGGTTGACGAAAAAAAATGCCATGATGTTCCAAGGCATCATGTACAAAAGGTGCGGTGCACATGTTTAAAGCCATCGTTGTCTCTGGAGAGAAGGAAATTTGTTACTTTTTTTGAGAGTTGAACAATCTTACATCTGCCTCCACCACTAAAGAATTTTGACAATAATGTAGTGGCAAGGTGATGGAAGACTCAGACTGGTGCTCCTGGTGTGCAGGTCATTTGCTCGCTTTGCGATTGTGAGCAGGATGTGAAGCAGGTGTGCGAGAACTGTGGTGTGTGCATGGGTGCTTACTACTGTGACAAGTGCAAGTTTTTTGATGACGAGGTTTGTATTCTCCCCAACCTAAACACTACATCTTAGCAAGAGCTGCATAAATGAGCAATTTCACCGTTTCTTGTGAAGGATGCTTAGGTGAGCTTCATGCGCAACATGAAGTTGCAATTCGCTTTTTTATTCTTGTCCAATGTTTCTGAAAGTTTGTAACTTGCGCTAATGTCAGGCGCCAGCTTTCTGTTGATAGTATGCTCACTGCTGCTTATTTTTTGTGTTGTATTTTGCAGACAAAGAAAGAACAGTATCACTGTGATAAATGTGGCATATGCAGAATTGGTGGCCGCGAGAATTTTTTTCATTGCGACCGCTGTGGTATTAATTTCCTTCTGACATCGTCCTAGTGTCACGTTCAACTCTGTTTCGCTACGTGATGTTGTATTAAAAATCTGGCTTACTTTGAACCCCAGTTTTAAAAAAGTATGTTGCAAATGGTCTATAGTTAGAGTTGATGTTGACATTCGTTCTGCAAGTAACCTTTCTTTTTCTGTTTTTTTTTTCTTCTTCTTCTTCGTCTTTTTCTCTACCCTATTGGCATGAGAGTTAAAGATACAATTCATAAATGAGGTCACGATCAATATTTGATTCTTTCTGATCTTGAATTTTGTGACGCTGCAGGCTCGTGTTACAAAAACTCGCTTCGGAATGGGCATCCTTGTATTGAGAATGCCATGCATCAGAATTGTCCTGTTTGTGTGGAGGTAATCAAACATCCAATCAGAAAACTCCTTGGTCATATTTTTCCCTGTCATGTTTGGGTCATATTTCAGCGTTGCGTATATACATTACAGTTACACCTTAGACATGGAAGAACGCTTGTACTTTTTGGTTGTTTAGATTACTTGGCTAAGTCTATGATAGGTTTAAGTAGAGCTCCTCATTCTAACCTTGGTATGGCTTTTTCTGCAGTACTTGTTCGATTCCTTGATGGATATCGCCGTATTGCCATGTGGGCACACTATGCATCAATTTTGCCTGAAGCAGATGAATCAACACTTCCAGTATGCTCTCAACTTGAACCGATTCTATCTTCCAGCTAGTAGTTGAGTCAACCCCAAAGGATACTGATGCCTTAGTAGAGACTTGTATCCTGCATTATCTCGCGAATGTTGCTAAATCACGTCTGGGGTGAGTCGGAAGGAACCCTTGGGCAGTTTGAATGTTGTGGGGTCTTTGAAAGTGGATGCTTACGAGTGTGTCATGCTGCAGATTCAGCTGTCCCATATGTTCAAAATCAACCACAGACATGTCAAGATTTTGGGCTCGACTGGATCTGGAAGTATCTTTAACTCTCATGCCTGAAGAATACCGCGATAAAAAGGTGCAACTTAGACAACCTCAACGATCGTTCTTTTAGGATGTTGATCGGCATCTTCTATGCTTTTTTATGCGAATCAACTGATTGGACTTTTAATAATCTCCTGCTTTTCTGTGCAGGTGTGGATACTGTGCAACGACTGCGGGAGAACCAGTGATGTACATTACCACGTGTTAGGACACAAATGCGCAGGATGTGGATCCTACAACACACGGTCGACGCCTCCACCCTCCACATCCAGATGACATGGGTAGCTCGCCCATACATCGGAGCGGAAGTGTCAGCAAAGTAGATCAAGGCATCCGCCCCACTTGTGCATTAGTAGGATTCCATTTGCCAGTCTTCGGAGAATTCGTTAGCAGCAGCAGTAGAACCAGCAACCGAAGGTAGCAACGATTATTGTTTCATCTCTTGGTGGTAGAATTCTGGTCATGGTACAGTGCAGTGAAGAAGTCGAAACTGGACGACTCGGAAGAGTCCATTTATTTAGCCTTGGAGACGAATGGATTAGATCGGGAAAGAGATGCAGACCAATGGATATTTAAATATATATAATACACTCACACGTGCATCAGAATGGGCACATGTGCATGGAATTTGCACTGTGCTCGAGAGAACTTTGTGGACCTGTGTTTCAATCTGTACCCAGTTCTTATGTACAATGTAGAAATTTAAAATAATAATAATATCTTAATTTCTTTCTTTCCTTCCTTCTTTCGAGGGTTGAGTTGGAGGAGACTCTGACAAGCATATCTTGTCTTTATCAATTCTAACATAAAGCATCGCTCTATATCAGTTTCTGAATCCCATATGAATCCACCTAGAGCCCAAATATTGAAATAAATAAATAAATAAATAAATAAATAAATAAATGTGGTGATGATTTACAGCATTTGGAGAAACACATGAAGAATGTGAAAGTGAGAGTGTCTTGGGACACGAGTTCCCCACAAGACCCATTCTCTTCAGCATTTGTTGATAATTGTAAACATTTCATAATAGTGATGCTGGCAATGATCAGTGTTCGACACGGCCTTAGGGGCTATGATAGGCCACGCGGGAGGACGAGTGCCCGACCCCACTATCTACCCTATCACCGCACCTAATCCACGCACCCCGACGTGTCATCGCTCCCACGTGTACATCGGTATGACGTGTGACTTCCACGTGGTCGTTATTTGTTGGCTGCTACCGGATCGACCAGATGGATATCCACCTGGCAAGCTCCTGGAATTGAATGACCAAGTTTATATTATTCGAATGCTGTCATTGCCAAATCATGATATGGATACTTATATTATAAAAAAAAACACACACACACAAAAAAAAAACCAATATGATTTAGAAAGATCAGTACCACAAAGTACATTTTAAAAGACATAGGATTTCTTTTTCTTGTTATTTCATTTTATAAAAAAATCATACATGTATATGTATACAATGTAAAAACCTGCAGATGGCTTGTAAAGTTTAAATGATGCATTCATTAAACTCCTCTCCCCCCCCCTTTTTTTTTTCTTTTTCTTGCACCGGTGAAGTTTATAAGGTGGTGATGAATTAGATGTCAAGTGTAAATACAACAATGGCTTCTAGGGCCACTCTACACTATGGTTATTTGGTCAAATAGACTTTGAACAACTCTACTTCAAATTGAGCAACAGGCTTGTGTGGATGTTTGTAAAAATATAATTAATGTGACCTTTGGATTGTCTACTCAACTGAGAATTCGGTTTCTATTTGTGTCAGACCTTATTTCTTGTTGAGCAAATAACTCATTAAGCGTCAGAATTGCCATAAAGTGATTCCATGTCAACACTTTTGACCAAAACATCTATGGGTTGTTTGCCTCTAATGTGATGGTTAAGCAGTCAAATTTTTTTCTTGACCAATCGTATTGCTAGAATCCTTTCTTAGCTCGACAATTGGTACCCTTCAAATTTAATTTTGCTAAACATGTATTTAGTTTGCACTCTGATGTTTTACTTTATATGAGTATCTATTGACATACATGTATGGGAGGTTTTGTAAGCTACTCAATGATACACAACCAAGTGTTAGGAGTCCTTAACACAGGGTTAAAAATTAAGGATTTGGGGTTTGAAAAAAAAAAAAACAAAACAAAAAACAAAACAAAACAAAACAAGCAAGCAAACAAACAAACAAACACAATTGTACCAATTGGGTACCTCTTCTGCTGTGATCTTTAAAATATGTTAATTTTCATGCTATAACAAATACGTACAATTTTCTTGCCCCAAATTTTCAAACAAATCATTCATATTGTTTTGAAATTTTGTGTGAAGTGAATAATAATTATTTTTGTTGCGGTTGCTAGCATCACTTTTCTTATTACTGTTATTTGCATGTAAGAAATTGTTCATCACGAAAGATAAGAATTTCAACAAAATTGAGCGTATCAGAACTTCCAAGATTTCATCTGCACAGGAACTTAGAATTTTACCTGAACAAATGTATTAAGTCTGTATTTGTTTCAATTATACGTATAATTTCATAAACACACATATACACAATACATATGCATTCATATGCTACACAGTGTACACACAGACACCTTCACATAAACAAATAAATGCAGAAGGAGCATACAGCATGAAATAATGTCTGTTCCAATATCTAGAGAACTTGAAGGAACAAGTGGGAACAACTTCTATATTCATGGAGGGAAATCCCATGTCCATTATTTGTTCAGTTTGCGACCAAAAGACCCCAAAGCTAAATATGAACTATAAGCCAATGACCCCATCAACAGTGTACTGTCTAATTTCATCAATAACGAAGACCCTCCAGAAGAATCCAATGATAACTCGTCCCACAGAAAGGGTAATATTGTTAATAAAAGCAAATGATAAAGGAGCAATCCCACCGAATTCGAGCCATTAGCGGAAGAGAAATAGAGCGCCAATTCTAACAAGCATGGAGATCTGGCCATCCCACGTCAGTTCCAACAAAGAACGTGTCCTCTTCTGGGCCTTCTCAGGCCAGTTCCTGTTCGGAACATGTCGTCGTCAACCGTTTTGAATTCAAGGGCCACGTAACGGCTGCTCTTTACTCCCCTGCGTTGTGCTGCGCCATGCGGTGGTGCTAGAATGGTTTCGAAAATCGAGCTCCGTTCCTGCATGAGGATGGTTTGAATGCCGCTTTTTAACGGAGGGAAAAAAGTATGCTGCGGTTGTCGTTGTCGAGTGTTTCTGATCTTTGTCGGCTATTGATGAGAATGATGTTTTGAATTTATCCAAACCCGACGAGGAACTAGGAACCGCGAGATCCGAGGGTAGCAGACTGCTGCAAGGCTGTGTGAGATCATGTGAGGACGGAGGCGGTGGAATGTTGTCGCTGCGTGGTGTTTAATGGGATGTAGTATTTGCAGGCGTAGTTCAGGTAGCGTTTGGGTCGACGGAGCGTTGGATTCGACCTCAAACTAATGTCCGTGTAATCGCGTGAAGGAGGAAGGGAGAGGAGGTGAGTTGTGGAGCATTTTGTTTGACAATGGCTGAATGCAGGTGGTAGCAAAAGATGCGCGTGCTATCTTCTGTGAGGATCAGAGTGTGGATATGCTTGAACGTTTTAGAGCAATAGATTCGAGTGAGGTTACCAAGGTCTTATAAGGGTTTATTTTTTATTTTTTTTAATCGTGGTCTGCATTTCAGTTTAACTCGAGAATTCTAGTTCCTGCTGTAGTACTAGTGTGAGCAATGCCTGGAGCGGTGTAGTGGTCGGGATTCCGATGTTGTTGACAACGCCGCAATTCATTTGATTTTGAACGGGTTCAAGTAGATTTGAGGAACACTTATTCCTTGAATATTATCATACGCTATCGTAGTTCTCGATCCTTGATTGTCCTTTCAAACATAAGTTAGAGAACGACATGTGGGAATGAGTCTAACCAGCCGGGGGAAGAGGTGGGGGTTTCAAGCGAATTCTGTAGTTAGGGGTTTTTAATCGTTCCTGCCAATAAATACTTGATTGAGTTCTCGCCATTTGTTTATCTCCGTAGAACTGTTATTTCCAAAATAGTGTCCACTTAAATGATCACCCATTGTCCTCACAACAATGAAGGTGTGATATTCCTCGATTCCTAAGATCAATTTAAATCTGCGCAATCTGTGGGGAATCTACTACTTGAGCCGTGAATATTTTGTCCTGAGAAAAATTCCGATGCTTTCTGAAAACTTATGCTTCAGGTATCATCTTTTTCAGGTTAATGGTCAATTGGTGCCTGCTAACGCTTGGATGAATGCCATGTACATTATCAAGAACGTATTCTTTTGTGCCCGAGCTTTGCTCTACATTCCACTGTGATAATGAGGAAGTTGTTCCCTCTTCAAGCTCGTCAATTCACAGGATTAGTAAGGTCCTAAGGTAAAGAAAGCCATGGCTATTGGCACGCCACCGCTGCGTCTCTCAATACGAAACTCTCCTCGTAAGAATACTCAGGAGTCCGTGGAGTCAAGTGGGAGCGATGTGGGTATTGCAACTCCATCTCGAATCGGCACCATAACGTCGGCACGAAAGGCTCTTACTCCCATTGCCGAGATCGTCAGCAATCCGCTGACATCCGATGTGCCAGTTTGCGAGGCTATTGCTCCAAGTCGAAAAAGGAATGTAACTACTCCACAGAAGCAGACTGTGGAAAATAAATCATTTTCCGATGCAGAGAATGCCACCGACTGTAAGGAAGGCTCTGCAGTTGGCACATTGGGAAATCTGGCAGGGATAACGCCGGGGAGAAGTAAGAATATTTTAGCAGGTCTTTCTAAAAAATCACCTGTTGTAGCACGTTCAGTCCAAGAATTATGTTATTCTGAAACACAAGCAGATGGTGCTCGTACTCCCAAAAGGCGTTTGGCATACAATCCTGAGGTCGTTCAAATACAAACCTCCACCAAGAGTTCGACGAAAATACCTTTCGAACATCTTACACCCAAGGTCTTTCGGAGTGCGGGTAGGAAGGTTGCGAATGAAGCAGAGGTCGGGACGTCCTCTCGATGTGGTCCTGCTCAGTTAATTACACCATCCAGCGCCAGGTCAACTCGCCCTTTGAAACATGGAGGGGCCGGAGGGATTCTGTCTTCAGGGCTGGGCATTCGAGCCAGCGTATCTAGTTCTTTGAACCGACAGCTTGTGATGCCACAAACAAGTCCTCATTTTATAGAGCAGCCTTTTGATCTCGAGCAGGATCCTAATTTCTGGGATGATCACAACGTCCAGGTGCGTTACGTTCCACCCAACCTGTTTCATGACTATGGCCTGAGACTATACGGGAGCTTCATCCAGAAAAGCTTCGTCCACAGTGGATTTTCACTAGGTGGCACCATTGAAGGCAGGGGGAATATCTATAGTAACTGTAATGGTGATGCATTCGTAAACATGTCATTTACATATTACAAAATAATATGTTGGTTAAGCGAAGCGCTCAATCTGGGATTTTTGACATTTTTTTTTTTTTTTTTTTTTTTTTTTCTTCCTTTTGAACAGGTGCTCATAAGATCTCGTCCAATCAACAACGCTGAAATGGCAAGTCAGGGCTACACAAGATGTCTGAAACAAGAAAATGCTCATTGCATTACTTGGCTTGGCCAACCAGAGTCGCGGTTCACCTTCGATCATGTCGCTGGAGATAGCGTGACACAAGTGCCTTCTCATTCTTACACTCATGTGCAAACGTTTCAATCGCTCGTCTAAGATACGTTGGTGTCGTTTACACAATGCTTGCTGTCAGTTTTCAATCATTTGAGGCTTTGAAAAGAGGTTAGTACTGCAGTTGTTGACCTTCCAATTTTACGTTGTCAGGACAAGTTGTTCAGAGTGGTTGGATTACCTATGGTGGAGAACTGCATGTCCGGCTACAACAGCTGCATGTTCGCTTATGGGCAGGTAGATAAATTTGCTACAGCAGAAACACCTGAAAGTGGTGTCACCACATTGCACAGAAGGACGCATTAGAATTGAGAGCAACCAGGGAGTTTGTCATCTGCAGGAAAACTTGATCTGCGTTTAAGCATGTAAATCAATTGATGATTTATCGAGTTGGTTGTACGCTCCTTGACCTATCTTCTGATTCACTCTGCACATATGTGGTTGGCTTTTTCTTACCTTTGAGCAGACTGGAAGTGGAAAGACGCACACAATGTTAGGAGACCTCGAACGTCTTGACAGAAGTCCGAGTGACAATAGGGGAATAACTCCACGTGTGTTCGAGTATCTGTTCGAGAGGATCCGTCAGGTACGCTTGAAGTCTATGATAAGATATTGGGACTTGGGAATCCTCAGCTTCACTATATACTCACGACGTTAACATCTGCCCAACGACTACATACACTTTATTGTCAGGTTTTTGGAGATTATCCACTGAAATTGACTCGCACTGCAGGAAGAGGAGAGTCGAAAGCATGAAAAACTAATGTTCATGTGTAGGTGCTCCTTTCTCGAAATTTATAACGAGCAAATCACCGATTTGCTGGAGCCGACATCAACCAACCTTCATGTATGACGTTCTCATGCAAGATTTTGTGCTTTCGCATCAACCTGTGACTCTAAGATTTCCTGTGAATAAATGTCTAGATAGCTCGATCATATTTTGTTTGAACCCAATGCAGATGCGCGAAGACACCAGGACTGGAGTGTATGTTGAGAATCTATCCGAGGTTGAGGTGCAGAATGTACAAGATGTCATTGATCTTCTGATCCAGGTACTGTAACGCTTACTTCGCCAATTCGAAGTACGCATAGATGCATTCTTGTAAGGGACCGTTGCACTTGACCCTGGCCTTCTATGATGTCGTCAGAAGAATTTTTCAAACCCCAACATTCGTCCGCTTCAGTTATAAGATTTTTGGTTGGAATTTCAGGGTGCTTCAAATAGGAGAGTGGCTGCGACTAATATGAACAGAGAGAGCAGTCGCTCCCACAGCGTGTTCACATGTATAGTAGAAAGCAAGGTAACTTGTGATTGTAACTTTTTTCCATGTCTCTTTACTTGACTTGAGATGCTCACCCTTCTAACAGTCTGTATTTTGATTCTATCCTTCGTTGGTAGTCTGGTACCTGGATCTGGAAACGTCTGGTTAATGATGCTTCTGTATTTGTCTGACAGTGGGAGTGTGATTCTTTGACGAATATACGATTTGGTCGTCTCAACTTAGTTGACCTCGCTGGATCTGAGAGGTAAACTTGAAATTATGTTTCTCTTTTCCCTCAATTCATGGACATGGTACAGATTGTCGTAAAAAGAGCCGCATGTCGTGCCTAACTGGGCATTGGCATGCTTTACAGGCAGAAATCTTCAGGTGCAGAGGGTGATCGCCTTAAGGAAGCCGCTAGCATTAATAAGTCGCTCTCGACGCTTGGGTACGATATTTTCTCTATACTGGCCATGTCTACTTGGAGAACACGATGCTATCATAGTTTAAAGAAAATTCGTCCTCTGTTTCAGGCTTGTCATTATGACCCTTGTTGATATCGCCAATGGGAAGCAACGACATGTTCCTTATCGTGATTCCAAGCTTACATTTCTTCTGCAGGTAATTGTTCCTTATTCTAAATCAATTCTTCCTCGAATTCGCGTATCAATGGACACCAGAGTAGAAATGATTGTTGCTTCTTTTTTGGACCCAATACCATCTTTGAACTATCTAATTGCCAGCTTGCAATGCATAGGATTCTCTTGGAGGCAATTCAAAGACCATCATAATTGCCACCGTGAGCCCTGCCAGTTGGTAATAGACAAACTATCTGGGACCTCTTTGTAATTCGATGTCTTAGTCTGTTCCAATTTTTGAGATTGCAGTTAAGAATCTTGAGGAGTATGCCGGACGCCCATAGCATATTCTATCTCTCTTTCTTCTTTTCTTTTTTATTTCCCTTTCTTACTATGGTCAAGCCAAGCTCTAATTTGACTTTTGTTTGCTTTTCAGTAATGCTGTGGAAACCTTAAGCACACTGAAGTTTGCACAACGTGCAAAATTAATCCGCAATACTGTAAGCTCTCTCTCTCCTTCAGAATGATTCGTCACTTACACAGACAACCCTTGGGTTTAAATTGGGAAACCTGGATGCTCTCTTAAGTGCATGGTTTTGCTCTAATGTCTTGGTTGGTGACAGGCTGTTGTCAACGAAGATGCCACTGGAGATGTCAAAGCTTTAAAGCTACAGCTACAGCTTATGAAGGTCTGATTCTCATATCTTTATTTTTGTTTGCACTATGAGTGCTTTCTTTGGGCAAGTGTTCAAGTAAACTAGCATTTTGTTTGAACAGGAAGAATTAGAGCGCATTCGGCGGCAAAGCATTTCGAGCATACCGTCGGCGCTGCTTCCTGTTGATAGGTCTTGGGATGCCACAAGAGCACTTGGAAGCCCAACCGGTACCAATAAACAGGTTTGTATTGCTTTTGGGTATTAGGATGACAGGTTCATTTGTGTTTGTGACGAATATAATATCTGCTCTTTTGCTATAACTCAACTTCATGTACTGCTGAGAAGCTGACGAATTTTCAATGTGTCTATGTCCTTTCAGTCATTTACGTGTTGTGTTCGGTTTTCTTCTGGTTCATCAGCTGAAGGCAATGGAATCGATTGTGGCCGGGGCTCTTCGGAGGGAAAAAGCTGCCGAAGATGTTACAGAACGGCTAGCTTCTGAGATTGAGCAGCTCAATCGTCTTGTGAGTACTTCTCAGAGTTATCATGAAGCAATTTTTATTGATCGTGATCCTTATAAGAATCACCTTTTTTCGGTTAAAATTCTGAACCGCAGTTTTTCTTTTGGAGTACAGGTTCGGGAGCGCCAGCAAGAATCTCAGAATGCCAAATTAATTCTACGGTTTCGAGAAGATAAAATCAGAAGACTGGAGGCTCTCTCGCAGGGTATGCTTGAATTAGATTCCTATCTTGCACAAGATAAGCGCATGCTCTGTGAGGAAATTAAGCTTTTAAAAGCTCAATTGGAATGTAATCCTGAGATTACGCGCTTCGCCATGGAAAAGAACCAGCTCTTGGATCAGATAAAAAGGTACAACGTCATTGCCTATGTATGATATGACTAAGAATTTTAGTAACGTTTCGAAACGTATACTGATTACCCCTTTTAACGAGGTCAGGAGCTTCTACTTTTCATAATTACAATTGTGAATGTAGAGAACGTGAATTTTTACCTCCTGATTCCATAGCATTGAGTCTTTCTTTGCAGTCTGAAGGATTTCCAAGATGGAAAGCAAGAAGTCATGGCGCAAGAAATTTCTAATCTACGTGACAAGGTATGGGCTCTTGCCTCTTCATACGCAACAACCTGAAAAGGAAAATGAGTTGGTCTAATTAAGCTATTTTAAATTTATAATCACATTATCCAAGCAAGGGCATCATCTGTGTGCAGGTGTTAGAGATGCTAGAGGGAAAGATAGCTAATGAGCACGTTCGCAGCTCACTGTCAGCATCTCAGGTGTGTTTCTATGCCCTTGTCTCCTCTTTTGACGCCAAGTTTCACGCTTACAAGATTCATCTTCTAAGTTTTATTTTATTTTATTTTATTTATTTTTTCATTTGTTGATATTATTGAGTTTATCCAATCTCCAGTCATTATATTTTCTTTATTTCTACATTTAAGAAGTAGTGGAATACCTTGTACTTTAATAACATTTATATTCTTGTATTGTCAGGGCCATATTGCGACCTCAGAAATTATTGCAAAAGATCGTGAAATTGAGCTTCTACGTACTGAGGTAGAGTATCCTCAGACAGTTCATGCAAGACTTTCTATACATCTTATCAGCATGAATACTTTGCGTCAATTCATATTAAAACGTAGTTCAAATTTTCTTCGATGTTGTGTGATTGGAAGTCTACCTTCGAGGATTTGGATGATTTCAGTATTGCTTTTGGATTGTCTGTTTAGCAGGCAAATGCTTATCGTTCCGATTTGGAACATTGTCGTAACAACTTGAACTCTGTGCTGGAATCCCATTCCGCGACTTCAAGGTGAGACACCTGTTGACCCACAATTCACCTCCACGTTGACTAATCGACTTCGGTAATTAGCCGGCACTTACGAAAGCTGCCTTTGCCAACGCAGACAAGTGGTTGATCTTCAAGCTCTTGTCGAGCAGCTGAGAGGAAGTGGAGGTGAAGAAAATTGCCTTAATAGAGAATCAAACTACGAACTTCTAGAGAAGCTGCAGACTGAGCAACTGCAGCACACTATGGAGCTCAAAAGTCAGCTTGAGCAGGTAAAAATGTTCGCCTCCTTCCTTCAACCATGTGTTTTGTTTCGCCACTGATTAAAGTGGAAGTACTTACGAGTTGGGATACATGAAACTGGCAGATGGAATTAAAAGCAGAAATAGAAGGAAGAAAGAGTCATCTTCTAGAGTCTCAGTTACAGGAAAGTCTTCAAGAGGCACATAACTTGCACAACCAACTTCAGGTGTGTTGTTTTTGAACAGATCCTCAGTAACGTTTGTTTTGTTTTGAGATGTTAACCTCTACGTACGCTGTCCGTCCTGAATCTCCTCTCGTGATTTATCATACGAGTTTCAGAAGCTGACACCCAATACTCAGGAGGTGGAAAGCTGCATAAGGATGGAAACGGAAGAAGCTGGTGATGAGCAGAAGCGGAAACTGATTGACTATGATGCCATGGCCGTTATGTGGAATCACAAGGTACTGTACAGCTGATTTATCTGCAAATCTGCTCGGTAGTGTTTGGAAAAGAAGAGAATCAAAATGCTTCTTGGGGATTTTAACATCTTTCAATTTCAGGAATCCGATCTCCGTGCCCAACTTGAGAAAGTTCAATCTGCGATGGATACAATTCTAGAGAAACAAGGTAGAGAGCACGAGGAAGTCCTTGTCTATCAGGAAGAAATCAGGCGCTTACGGCAAGAGCTGATTTCCTTAGAGGCCTCCAGAAATGAAGAACAAGCACTTCGGGAGCACTTTGAGAAGAAAAATAAGGAACTGGCTGCAGAACTTAATAGGCAGCTTGAGGAAGCCTCAAGCAAACTTGCTCAGGAGAAGGCAATCATTGATGCTTTGGAGAACCAGCATTTATTGGCAATGAATGAAATCGATACGTTACAAGAGAGTCACAAAAAGTTGGTTCTTAGATTGAAAAGAAGAGAAGAAAAAGGACGGATGTTGAAAAGGAGAATTGATCGGCTCGGTTGGGAGTTGACTAAGGAGCACGAGCTCCGAGATGTGGAAAGAGAAATGGAAGATCGAGAAAAGCTTAATGAAGAAGAACTGATGGCGTTAGAATTGAAGCTGGAGAATGCTAGAAAGGAGCTTGAGACGGCTCGAGCGCTGAATGAAAAAATTCAGGAAGAGCAACATCTTCAAACGATGAGGCAACAAGATTTAGATTATTCAAGATCTGAAGTAGAGACTGAGACTGCCTTCGCGATCACTTCGATGCAAGATGAGCTCATGGCTATGGAAGATGAGTGGCTTGAGAAAGAAACTGCCGCACAAGAGCAAGTGGCACGGGTTAGAGAGGAACTGGCAGACACACTTAGGATGTTAAATGAAATTCGTCATGAAAATGTAAATTTACGGAAGGAGCATGATGCTATGATGAAAGAAAAAGATGCTGAGATAAGCACTTTGCGGAGGAGCTGGGAGGCTGCGTCAGGAAAGATAATAGATTATCTCGCTGAAGGAGATCAAGCCCTTTTTGATGCTGTGCAAGAAATGGAATATCTCGTTGAGCTGTCTATACCGTCCGGAAGAGTGCAACAAACGAACAAGAACAAAGCTTATGAATTTCTATGTGAACAACTCAAGCTTGCTCAAGATGTGGCTAGAGAGACTGAACGAAAGGTCAGAGCATTGTGCCGCGCAGCTTCAGAAGCATCTCCTGAGGCGGACAGCAACAAATTGAGCTTATCTGATAGAGAGAGTGTGTGTGGACTCCTGCGAGGTTCACAGAAGTTTGAGAACGCCACAAACGAAATTATTGCAAGAAAGGGGTGCTCTGATAGGCGGGTAGTGGAGTGCGAGACAATGTTAACTTCTATCCAAGCCGATTTGGCACATGCTGAATTAAAATTGCGTCAAGCCGAAGATCGTAATTTGGAACTAGCTAAAGCCCAAGAAGCACTCATCGTCACAAGTCAACAGTGGGATTTGGAGAAAACGACATTAATTAGCACTTTACGTGCAGTGGAACAGCAGTATGCCGTCGCCCAACAAGCACTTTCTGATTTGCAGGTTGGAACGATGTTCTCTGAAGCACCGGAAGGTGTCACTGAGGAGGTAGAAGAACTCCGCCTTGCGAAAGAGAAGTGGGATATGCAGAAAAAAGAGTTGGAGAATGAGCTCGTGGAATTGCGTGCCGCTCTTACGCAAAGAGATGCTGAATTTATAAAACAACGCATGTCTGACGCTAAGGAGGCGGTGGTTAGTCGAGATAAGTCGAGGCTGACGGAGAGTAAGGTAGCAGGTTATTTTGTTGAGGATGAAAACTGTATTAACCAGAATTTGGAAGTTGAAAGACACGATGCTGGTGAAGCAGCAGTTCGACTCGTGAATCTAATAAAGAAGAAGGAAATAGTACTTAAGGACACAAATGATGCCCTTGCGCAGCTCAAGTTGGAGCTGGAGAAAGCGCTAGAGGCACACGATTCTCATCAGCAGCACAGTGTCGAATGTGTGGCCGAGAGAGAAGAACTACTTTTTAAGTGTGAGTCACTTGAAAAATGTTTGAACATTGCCACTTCAAACACTTTTCACGCAGAGGAAAGATTGGATACCTTGCAACTCTTAATAGAAGAGTTTTCGCAAGCGGAAGGGAAATGGAAGCTTAAAATATCTAATCTAACCTCACAGGTTGAGGTGATGAGAAGTCTTCTGGCTGACAAGGAGGCAGAATGGAAAACTTTGAAGAATGAGAATGAGCAACTTCACATCGCTCTTCTCTCTGCACAGAAAGAAGGCATCTCTGTCGCCTGCGAGCTTACAGCGTTGAAGCAGAAGCTCAGAAGGTCAGATTCACATGGAAGAGATCAGCTGGATCACGTAGAGCAGACAATCGAAATTAACCACATAGATCACGGCCAAAGAAACCCTGTTTTAGATAGGCGAAGAGAAACAGAGATGTACGAGGATGAAATAACAAAGCTGATAATGTTGGTAGCTCAATCCGAAGAGCGATTAGTCAAGTTGGAATTGGATTGGAGAAGGGAGAAAGAAAGATTGCTGGCAGAGAGGGACATTGCGAGGATGGATGCCAAACAGAAGGGAAGTGAAGCTGCAGCGTTGGCGAGGAACTTTGAAAGGAATCGGGCCACATTATGGGAGGCGGAAATGATGGTTGATGCTCTTGTTCAGGCAAAGGACAGTGCTAGGAGTGATGGTGAGGCGTGGAAATTGGAAAATGACAGGTTGCGTCTGGCTCACGAAGTCGCTCTTAAGAACGTATATGAGGAGACTCTGGAAGTTCTAGCAATAATAAAAGAGGAGGTGGATAAGACTAAAAATCACTGCGAAAAGGAAATTGCTACCATGACCGAAGATATTTATGTGCTGATAGACGGACTTCATATTTCTATTGGTGCACTGCAACATGACTTCAAGAAAGCACAGATGAGCATTTCTCTTTTGGCAGAAGAACTAGGATTTGCTGAAGAAATTCAGCACAACTACAGTGCGGGGTTGTTGGAGGAGGAATTAGCTGCCTTGAATACTGCATCTGCTAATGATGAAGAAGAATACCTCATTATGAAAGATCAAATAGCAAAGTTGCGAACATTGGCGATCGAATTAGACGCGGAGCTGCAGGTCAAGGTGTGTGCGGTGAAAGGTCTGGAGCAGGAACTTCTTCATGCTGAAAAGTTGCGAGACAGCTTGCTTCAAGAGGCTGAAAGTAATATTAAGGAGGTTGAAAGTCAGAGGGATTCATTACAAGTAGACTTGTCAGCACTGAAGAAAGAATTGGGGTTTGCCCAACATACTGACAAGGATGTCGACGTATGTTCCCAGCTCATTTTGTCTCAAACTTTACAACAATATGTATGGTGGATGTCTCGACCAAATCTTATTTGGTTTTTTTTAAAATGGAGCTTCTAGTGCTACGGCTAACATTCAATGTATCGTTGAAATGCTTGTAGCTTCAAGCTCTAACGACAAGAATCCCTACTCTGATGCTGCTTTCCGGGGGTCAAGCTACTGAGTACCATTGCAAGGTACTGACTTGTTTCAGTTACTGGTTTCTGTCATAATTCTCCACCCTGCATCTTTTAGCCTTGTGTGTTCCTGATAAATTTAGTCAGTATATAGGATTCACAATCACGCTATATTCATCATGCGAACTCAACATTCTTCTATTGAGGACGTGCTTTTGCTCAACAGGTTCTGAACTAACGTTTAGCCTTAATGAAAATTACAGCTTTGGAATTGTTTAAATAATCACCTTTAAGCATGCCGCAAATTTCATCCAATCGGTGGTATTGTGATTTGGGTGTGTTCAGCTCAATGATTTATCCTCTATGGTAGAGCAATTCAAAGTTGAAGACCGTCGTTTGAGTTCTGCACGTTCACCTTTCAGCCGTATTGATAAAGGCATACTGCAGACACAGACAGCTGATCTGGATGCTGAGTTTCATGCTCAAGAGCGCCGCATTCAGGAGCTTGAAGTCTTAGCTGTAGATCGGCAGCAAGAGGTAACCGAAGCTCTTTTTAAAAGTTTTAAGTTCGAGAAAGAGTCTCTAGTCTGCCACACGAGACTAGCAGTTCTCCTTTGTAAACTCGAGGAATTTGTAAGCGTGAGATCTGTAGGTAACTTGAATTACATTTCAGTGCAACCTCATATTAAGCATGCTAACCATGGACACTATGTGTACATTTCGTAAAATGCGCTGCTTACTGTAGTAGTCTGTTACAATGAACACTTTCGTCGCCTGGTGGTTCCGTGGCTGAGTGTCCTTTGAATGATTGACTAGATATTGTTGGACTGAAATCTGGACCGAAATTAACATATTCTTGGCATGTCATCCTGGATTTTGTAGATATCCGTCCTGAATTCAAGGCTTGCTGAAGCTGAGAGCCAGACTTACGACGTTGTTCAAGAGTTACTTGGAGTGAAATTAGACATCTCCAATTACACGGTGTGTTTCCGCTTGCATTTTACATTCCAGGATTTTCAGTAGTTTCTTTTATGAAGACTGCTTATTCGCTATTTGTTCGCATTCACCAGGAAACCCAACACCTAATGCAGAGGCTAGCAGTAGATGTCCGTCGCCAAAGCATCACCCCAAATGGACCAGGAAGAAATCTGGTTCAAGGTGCCGAGATCCAAAAGCTGAGAGATCAACTTGATGAGCTCGTTGGGGAGAGAGAAAGGTAAATTACCAAGTGCGTCTGTTATGAGGTTGGATTTTATTTTTATGTTAGAAGACGTCATATTTAATAATCGTAATTCCAAGGTAGATTAGTAAAGATCAATATCTGAGTTGCATTATATTCTGCAGCTGGCTTGAAGACTTGAATAAAAGGCATGCGGAGATTGTTGCCCTCCAAATTTCTGCAGAAAAAATGCGACATCGTGATCTATTTATTTCAGCAGAAAATGAGAAGTTGAAGGTGTGGACGTCCAGACTAAATTACTTTGAGTTTACAAGTTTCCCTAGCTTCAGACGTTCACTCTGCAAACTTTAGAGGATACAGGTTTTCACCTATGAATTTCATTTTTTTGACAACATGCTGGGCACAGTTGGATAATGCAGGATACATTGAAAGAATAACAGAGTTGGAAAAAGACATCAAAAAGCTATCTGGGCAGCAGAACCTCCAGCAACGAATTCAGCATCACGCCAAAATAAAGGTATACGTTCTCGCCTTGATTTGACCTTGCTAAGAAAATTAATGCTTTGACTTGGTGTATTGTGTATGGTTTTTTGTATAACTTGTGTAATTCCTGATGCAGGAGGAGAACACTGCTCTACGACACAAAATTGAAGACTTAAGCGCTAAATTAAGACGAACAGAGGTCTTGTTAGCACGAGTGACCGATGAGCTGGCAAAATACCGGACAGCAGAGGGCAAGACCCCATTGCTAAACATCGACGAGGAGCAATGTCTTCGGATCAAGCTTCAGGTGATTCTCAGAGTTGATGACCTGAGAATGGTTTACATCGCCAGCTTAGAATTAGTTAAATTTTTAATTTAAAATAACACCAAGTTCGCGAATTAAACGTCGGGGAACTTGTCGCAGGAAGCCGAGGATGCAAAGATACAAATGGCTCAGAAGTTATTAAAGATTTACTCCAGCATTGTCAAGGTACATTTTTATCTTCAGATATTTGCTAACGTTTGCATTAAGTAGAATCCTTGCCAAGAAAACTATCTGAGCCCGGTTGTCTTGTTATGCAGGTTGCAGATTGTAACCTAGATGCAAGAGAGGTTGACCATGAGCTAGCTATGTTGGCTTTAGAGAAATTGCAGGGGCGTATTCGGTCTACCGAACAAGAACTTGCGGAAACCAAATTCAAGGTAGTGATATTTTCTTAGAGCCAATTTGAAGTAACTGGATTTGAATGTATGATATGCAGCTAGGTACATTCAGAAACCGTAACAGCATGAAGAATTACCATTGAAGTCCACTACAAACTCTTGGTCCTAACCCTGAGGAGGTTTCCAAGTGAAAATCCTAGCTGCAGATACTCACGTTTTTCTTGCTTCACTGATCAATGAAACATGTTTGTTGCAGTCCAAGATTGATGGAGAAAAAAGAAGACTGAGTGACCTTCGTGCAGCGCTTACACCATCCAAGTCTATCAACATCTCTGGCGACCAAAATTTGTTTTGTCAAGTTCAATACTTCTCTTAGAATTTTAGCACTTCAGAAATTGATGAGCAAAAGTATTACCCAATTCATTCTTCTGTACCCTTTAAGGGTGTCAAAATTCTGCCTGTACATCATTCTTGTACAATATGTGACATATAAATTAATTCAATAAATTGTTTCCCTATTGTTAATCTGAATCTACATTGATGTTAGGTCTACATAGTTGGGTTGTCATTATAAACAGTATTTTGAATGCTCAGTGTACAAGCACACCTCAAGCTATTACATATTTATATATACTCCAAAGGTTATTAATTGGCTCATCCAGATCCCTTTTCCATTGTCCCAGTATGGGTCCCAATCCCCTCCTCCCTTACCCAGGTGTGGAAATTCCCTTACATGGGGCTCAATCCTCCTCCCTCCCTACCTAAAGAGAGAGAGGGATTGACGCTGGTGCTAGAGCAAGGAAGAGAGCTAGAGAGGGAGGGAGTTGAGGACCCATGCCAAGGCAAGGGAGAGAAAGAAGGGGATTGGGACCTCCATTGGAATAAAGAAGAGAGATAGGATCTGTGTTGAGGTGAGGGAAAAGAGAGCTTGACAAGCCAATCAAAAGCCTTGGGTGTGTGTATTGACATAATGGGTGTGTATGTAGCAACTTGAGGTGTGCTTGTAGCTTGAGCCTATTTTGAATCAAGTAATCAAGGATATACAAATGCTCATAGACTTTACACAAGGAATTAATTGATTTATCCCACATACAATTGAAACACATGTTGAGGAGAGATGTATCTCAAGCAACACTAGTTTCAAGATAGATGAAGGTAGTCACAACATAAATGTGTAGCAAATGCCAAATGGTAATCAATGAGAATCAAATGAAAAGTCTAAGAAAATAAACTTTTAATGTGGGAGCATATGACATCATGTGATTTATTGTTCCAAATTCACATGTTATACCACGGACCTCAATTGTTACTTATGTATGAAGCAATAGAAAATCTAACTCGGTAAATATTATTAGTTCAAACCTATAGAAAAAATAAATAATTTGAATCACATATGATTGGTTTAAAGGAGATATCAAGTAATCTTTTGTAATAATCCAATGTTTTGGTTGTTTTTTTGTTTGTGTTATTTATTTTTTAAAATAATTAATTTGATTAAATTATGTACTTGTTATAGCTTTTTTTCATTTACATACAAACAACTACCTAATATTAAATGGATTGAATGTATAAGCATATAAACAGACAAGTAGATATAATATTTAATAAAAAAAGCTATTTTTTCTACTAATGTTACTTATAGTATGTAGTTCACATAATGGATAAAAAATAAGTGGATTAAATAGAATAGGTTAAAATAATCATTGATATAAATTTTTAAATCTCTTCTTGACACCAACATTACCTTTATAGAATACAAAATTTAACACAAGTATAAAAATAAAGAATTAAGAAATAAATAGATTTGTAATATTAAAATAGATTAATTTAAAATTATTTAAAATACCAATGAAGGAATTAAAGATATATATATATATATATATATATATATATATAAGATAGAAAAAAAATACATGAGTTATTTTATTATTATTATTGAAAAAATAAAAATTATGTAATTCTAATTTATACTCAAGACACAATATGTAGATAATTTTTTGTAAAAAATTCATCTTTACAATTCAAAGTTAGAACTATAAAAATAAATAAATAAATAAAATAAAATCTAAATTATATTAAAAATCATGTACTTTTATAACCAAGTGTAATAGACATTATAAGTAGCAATAATGTAAACGAGCTACAGGGTTACAATATAAAAATAAACCATATAGAGTAAATTAAAAAAATAATTTGTTACTTATTATTAGATTAAAAATATGCATATGTATATGTATCCATATATATATATATATACATAAATTTATACAAAATTATTATTTTATTTTTATTTTTATTAATAAAAAAATATAAATTTATATAGTATTATAAAAAAATTAGAAGAAGAAATAAGTTTATAAATAAATAAATTACTTTTATACTTTATACAAAATAGAATTTTATACAAAATAATAGATAAAATATATATTATTTGATTTTTTATTACTTATTACTAGATTTTAATGCAATTAATATCTTATTTAAAAGTATTGTAGCTATCACATTTTTAATGATTTTATATGATGCTTATTAACTCCTATCTCTTATAATTATTAATAGAGATTAGATTATAATTAGATATAAAAAATTACAAAGAATTTTTTTTTATCTTGCATCACCATTATTTCCAAATTTAAAGAATAAGCCAAAAATATGAATAAGAAAAATTAAGAATATATTTTATATACAATTACAATGATAGTTAGTTGATTAGTATTAATTAAGAGATTTACAATAAATGATCTTTTATAATGATATAGAAGCACTTTAATATAAAAACATCTCAAATATTATTAATTTTAAGTATATAAGATATTTAATTACATGTAAAGAGGTTGTCATGTATATCAAGTACATTTTTTATTGTTAAATAAGTCTATTCTTCATCTTTCATTTATTAGTAGATTTTATTTTAATTAATTTTATTTTTAATAAGAGAATTTTAAAAATTTGAATAAATTCTTATAATTGAACAATGTCTAAATCTATAAATAAGCCATTCTAAGCAATTTTTTCACTTATTATAATAATTTTTAAATAAAACTTGTTAAATAAAATTATTATAGATTGCATATTAAATTAAAAAATTCTAATAAATAATAAACTCAAAACACATAATTTTTTTTTATAACCATAACATGTATTTTAAAATGAAAATCTTATTGTTACAAGCACAAATATTGTACATACATTTAAAAAGCCATTGCATCTATAAATTTTTGTATATATATGTTCCATAATGATTCTCATAAAACTTAAATATATTTTATTTAGATATATATATATATATATATATATATATATATATATATATATATATATATATATATATATATATGTGTGTGTGTGTGTGTGTGTGTGTGAAAATTTAAATATTTTTTAAATAATAAAATTAAAAATATAAATATTGTTCAAAATTTGTAGATGTAAAAATTAATCCTAAATATAAAGAATGGCATAAAAGCCATTTACAACAAAATATTAATCAATTGCATCTAGTCTTTTGTCTCCAAAGTTATTCTTTGAATTCTTATCTTATTTTGAACTTATTTTAAAGTTGAATATTTTTAAATTTAATTTAAAATATCTAGGTAGTTTGTATCAAATATGATTTGAATTCTATTACAAATAAAAACACAACCATAGCATAGAATCTTAAATTCTATGCAACCACAAAATATTTATAAACATAACTTCTTTGTAGTCTTTTTAATTTATATTCATTATAGTAATCTTTTGATATTACATGCCTTATTTAATATATTAAATCTAAAAATAATATATCATATTTTATATTTAATATTACTTTAAAATTTATATTACATACATATACTATTATTATTCATAAACATATTTTTTGACTCACTACACATGACAAGTAGCATGAAATATTTTGATATGAGATATATTAAAAATTACTTTGAATCAAAAATATTAATATGAAAAAAACTAGGAATTTTTATTTTTTTTATTTTTTTATTTCTAATTTATTATTTATTTATTCTAGGGATTTGTATTAAATAATATACATAAATATACATATATATAGATATAAAAATTTATTTATTTATTAAAATAATAGTGTATATATTTTTTAATTATTTCATAAATTATTAGATAATTTTTTATTAAAATTTAATTTTTGATTTATTTTTATTAAATTGAATGTAATTTCAGAAATTTCGTTTTGCAAAATGATATTAATTGATTTTTTGTAATAAAATTAGACCATCTTGAATTAGAATTGTAATAAAAATATTTATTTTTATTCATAATTATAAATTAATTATTATTTTTTATAAAATAATTGATAGTATTGTAATCTATTACAATTAAATAATGCCATATTGTATAAAAGTTCAGTACCTTATATAATTTGTTTCATTCAGATTATAGCTAATATAGATTACACATGTGATATCTGAACTATTTGGTCTTCATTTTAAGATAAAAATTATTACTATAAAAAACAAATACTTCTATCTATTATGTTTTCAAAATTTATGGAACCATATTCAATTTAATTTAAATAAGTAAATTTATATAAATAAATAAATAAAACTACTTTTAACTTCAACCAATTTCAATTTAAATTTAGTATCAAATTATATAAAAGAATAATTTAAAATATTCTAAAACATTATTATTTCTACATGTTTTGATGAGCTATTAATCAAAATTTTGTGTATTATTTTTGGTTTTTGTATGTATTTTTTGACACAAGTGTCACTAATATACCTATTTTTTTTCATAATTATCTTTATAATTAAGTAGAAGTAAGTAAAAATAGATTAAATTCATAATATCTTTTAAAGTATCTTCTCAAAAGCTTCATAGATGTTGCTTTGACTTTATATATGTTTATAATTAATTAGTAGACTAGAAACTTGATCAACAAGTTAGCCACATGTCAAACATGTTAGTAGCTTATGGAACAAGCTAACTATATAGCACATGTATAGATAACTTGCCATATAAGTGAAGACATGTGTCTAGCAAAATCAACATGTGTTGGAGGTCCTATAAATATTACCACATAGCTCTTACTTAGAGAGGATATATGGAGGCAAGAGTGAAGCCTTCTTCAATCTTATCAATGCCTTTCTAATCCTAAGTCTTGTTTCAATACTTTCTAGTCTTCTTGTCTTAGGCAATAGCCATTCTTGTTCAATATATTACCAACTTTGAGTGATTTTTTAGTCTTTTCGAGTGACATAAGAGTATATTCAAGATTGTTTTCTTCAAGATTCATGTCTTTAACAATAGGTTAGATTCTTTTTAAAAATAATTATCAATATTACTATTAATATCATTATTTTTATGATTAGTAGTAACTTCAAATTGCTCAAAGTCAATCAATAATATTAATAATATCAAGTATCATAATAATTCCATATTTTTATCTTTAAAAAATTATTTTAAAAAATTAATAATTTATTTTTTTCCAAAATCAATCCATAAACTTGGTATTAAGTTATATAAATAATTATATTATTTCAATTATTATTTCAACAAAAAGAATCTATTTTTCT